CATGAGTGAATTCATGATTCATGATGCATTCTGAGGCTGCTTGGCAAATGTGATCTCTCTTTGCATGCTTTTGGCATGACAGGTTTTAGGAAGGTTACTGGTTTTCTCATGTAGCTGAATCACAGAACACTGGATACTTGTTCCCACAGCCTGCCAGCCATGGCATCTATGTTGGGGTTATCACTTGGCAACAAGATAAATACTCTGACTGAAATGTTACACTCCCTAACAGAGCTCGTTTCAGGTGCAAACTTTCTCATACTCCTGGCTGGCCCAGGGCAATATCTTAAAATAGGCAAGGTTTGCTTTCTTTTGCCCTGGAACCTGGCATTGTCTCTTTCTGTGGCCTGGGCTCACTCTCGTCCGAAGCTTTCTTGTTCTTTTGCGTATCCTCTTCACACACCCCAAACTCCCCCCAACCACCTCTCCCCACTCTGTCAAAACCCTTTCCGTAGGAATCTAGAAACATGTATTATTTCTCCTAGAGCCATTAACATGATGACTTTTATTGCTAATTATAGAAGGAGATGTTTATTCTCTGATAAAGATATTTCAAGAAGTTACCACATGACGTCTCAGCCAAGGGGACCCCAAATTCACACCACAGAGGTGGCCACTTTCATATCCATTGACTCCTGCTCACAGCGACAGCTACTTAAATTTCTAGGGAGAACCACGCTACTGTAATACTAAGTCTAACTAATATGAATGATTTTTTTATAAAAACAAGGTTTCAATATATTTAATGGAAAGTCATTAGTAAAATAAGATTATGAGATAGCATTTTATGTCAAAATGGGACTTCCTTTTTGACCTAAAATTGTATCGCACTTTGGATAATTTCAATGGTGACATTATTGCCGTGAGGGGTAATACATGTGTGTATTGCCCATCTACCCAGCAAATCCTACAGGGAGGATAAATATGGAAGTACCAGTGGTTGTTCATTCAAAGTGGAGAAGAGAAAAGAATAACATTGCAATGTGCTGAGCATGAACAAGTCATTCAGCAAACACTTAGTGAGCACCTTAGTTTGAGCCAAGTGCCTGTCTTCTGTCTCTGGGGAAGACGATTGTGGTTTATGGAGCTCATGGGAGACAAACACTCAGCAGTTAATGCGCAGGCTGCTCATTCACAGTCGGACAGGTGCTTCAGAGAAAAAACACAGTGCGTATAATCTCCCAGTCAGAATATTAGAACTTTATTCATAAAGCTGGTTTCTTATTTTTGACTTTCTTTCTCCTTTAGACGTGTTTCATTGTAGTGCTACTGGAAAGAAAATAAACACCTCAATATAGATACTTCGATCATGTATTGCTGGTTCTTTAAAAGTAATGCATGCCTATTGTGGAAAATATGGGGAATTTTTCTTAAATAAAAAAAAGTTGACAAACATCTATGAAGTTACTACAATCACTTCACATTTTGACACATTTCCTTCAAGTCATATTTCTGCACATATTTTACTTATATGGTTGAGGTCATATTGCATATACAACATTATACATATATAATGTTTCTTACCACTTATGGTAAGTGGTATTATAATTTTTCTTATCACTTATGGTTGGTTTATGATTTTTTTTACCACTCTTTACCACTTATGATTGTCTCACCCATTTTCCTAGAAGATAAGAAAATGAGCTGGTGAGAGACTTGCCAGTTCATTATTCTCAGCTTCTGCCGAAGTGATCTGACCTACAGCTGTTGCAAGTACAGTTTCACCCATCGGTTTTTTATTTCAGTTACTATACTTTTTAGTTCTTGACTTAATCTTATTTATCTTACAATGGTAAGACTCACTACGCGGTAGCTCTGCTCTGCTGATTGACGTGCTGACTGGCATCTTGCACTGGTCTGGCACATAACTACCACCAGTTGCATTCTTCCTCTACATTTTTCAGATTTTTCTTCCCCTTTACAGTTTTTACAAGCAGCTTCCCTTCTCTGGAGTTTATGTAGGATCTGAAGGATCTCAGGCAGCCACTCAACAGTCTTGGCTTCCCACGTCTGTAATTTTAGTGCTTTCCCCTTTCGATCTTCAAATTTTTCATTTGTCTTTATTCTCTCCAGGAGCCCTCTAACACACATGTATCAATCCTTCCCCTCTTTTCTGTGACACCGCCTCTCATTGGTGCCATTCGTATGGGCTTCTCATCATGTATTGCCTTTTACGCTTCCTCCAATAGTTTGATGCATGACCATCTTCTCTTTTTATACTGAGCTCATAAAATTTCTCTAATCTCTAAGGCAAGTTCCAAATCTGGCCACTCACAATCACTCCGTTAGCTCGCTAACCCTGTGGAACACTTACTATATAAAAGATGATACGCTAAGCACTTGGCAGACATGATCTCATCTGCTCTTCACAAAAGCCTGTGTCATTCAGGAATGCTTAAATAATATAGACTTATTATGCATCATCTCAGGTAACAATAACAATAAGAACAAAAACTAGAGGTAGGTAGTTTCCAGCATTGACTTGGGAGTGCTCTGAAGTCAGGGCTCTGGTTTGCATCTCAGCAAAGCTCTTGGCCTTCCTCTATGGCTGATGTATGAGAGCATCTCTTGGCATCACATCCTCACACAGCCAGGCTCAAAATTGGGTAGAAGGGGATGGCATAGGACAGGGAGTTTCTCGTTTTATGTCTCCCTCTTATCAGGAAGGAAAAATTTCCCCAGACATTCCCCAACAGAATTCTCCCAAACTTCATTGACCAGGATGGGGTTATATAGCTGCCCCCTAGACCAACAATGAGGCCCTCCTTCCCCAAGACAGGGAATCTTTTGCTACCTGAACAAAATCAGGAAGAAGAATAGCGAAAACTGGATTGCTTTTGCAGAGGCAGGGAATGGTGCTGGCATCATTAAGAAACTTAAGCTCAGAGAGGTTGAGGAAGAAATTTGTGCAAGATTATACAACTAGTAAGTGGCAGAAAGAAAATTCAAGTTAGAACTTTCTGAGTCTCTCAGAATCAATATCTGTGCTCACCATACTAAAGAGCCTTTTGAGAAAATTTTAGCATCTTGCTCAGTCAAAAGATATTTTGTCAGTACCAACTTGATGCTCAGCACGGTTCTTGCTGCTGAAGGGGCATCGAGTGTAGAATCTATTTAGGAATGGAAGCCCACTCAAATGAAATATCTAGAATACACATGATTAATTAGCGAATTAAGAATACATTTTCATACTGTAGGTCTAAGAGGTGCAGATCTGTGTAGCATGAGTTCTCTGAGGATTGTGGAAGTCAGACTGGATGTCAGGGAAGCTGTGGGGTATCAGCAGAACCTCAGAGATTTGGGTCAGTGGGGAAAGGGGAGGATGGCATTCTTGTTGAGAAGAAGGGGAGAGACACCTGGACCAGCAACAGCATCTACTGATCACTCACTGAGGCAGAGATCTGGCTGAGCACCAGGGGATGTTAAAACTTGTCAAAGGGTCAGTGGCTGCCTATGAGTTTCCTTTGGTGTCATGGAGGAGCTTAGGAGTTGAAAGATTATTGTTGAGGGTGGGATTCCACCTTTTTTTGATGTGACCTGAGATCTTCCAGCAATTAAAAAAATCAAATAACTTGGGTTTTGGCTGCCAGACACAGATTCTGAAGAACACATGGATCCCATTGTCCTTCTGATAATAACGAGGGGTTTGGGCTAAGTCACCCCCACTCCTATGGATGGGAGACTCTCATAAGCAAGATGAGGTAAGGGTAGATCTAGGTCTGTGAACCACGGGCAAACTAAGAAGCTTACAGCCGGCTCAAACCCACAGACTTTGTCTCACTGACACTCAGGTTGTTAACCCAGCTCTCTAAGCATGGACACGGAGCTCACCCCAGCAGCTGAAAAGAAATATGGTGCTTTTACTTCTAACCATCCTGTCCCTTTGAGGATTTCCTACACATAAAAGTAAAGCAAATAGAAGAGAAGCCACCTTTACAATGTGTTGCACTTTTCAATTAGCTCTAACAATATAACCATGTTTAGACTCAAATTATCTTTCATCATGCCTATTTTTTATCTGTTTTTGTCCTCTAATTCCTTTGGCTGTATTGAAACACCTAGTGACTTTTTTTTCCCCTAAACTTTGCTTTTTTTTTTTTTTTGAGAGCGAGAGCATGGGCATTTGTGACAGGGGTGGGGAGGGACAGATGGAGACGGGGAGAGAGAGAATCTTAAGCAGACTCCCTGCTCAGCGTGGAGCCTGACGCCTCAGGGCTCGATCTCATGATCCTGAGATCACCACCTGAGCGGAAATCAAGAGTGGGATGCTTAACTGACTGAGCCACCCAGGTGCCCCCACCTAGTGATTTTTCCAATCAAGTTTTCAACATCATGATCCTAGAGCTAAAAGTCAATTGCAAGTACACAGTGGATTTTCTCTGTATAATAAAAGATAAGATCTGTGCTGGAAACATGGGCAAATAGAAAGTTATTTGGGTGTGGCAGGTGGCAGGAGATTTGGGTGGAACCCAGAATTATTTAGGAAATTCTACTTTGAGAAATCTAAAACAGTTTAAAATAGAGGATCTCCAAGAAAGAAAAATAGTCGTTCTCTTCCTCTTCATGCCCAAAGGGTCACTTGGGGGCTGTCTAGAGTCAGAGAGAAAGGATTCTGTTATCTTTAAATATTGCAACCCACGAGCCATCCCCGTGCAATGATAGAAAGGTTATTGTAGAATTTGGCACTGTCCTTGGGCGCAGGTGTAGAGGGGGACACTTGAAACGGGCTGATAAACTTCAGAGAATTTTAACAGGCATGTGTAGGTATTGCCAAATTCTTAAGTTTCTGAATGACGTCATCCTCTGAACAAATTTCTTAAACGGTGCCTTAGCAAACAAACCTTTTTATAATAGTGATGTCTTGCTGAGTAAAAGGTTGAATCACTCAAAGGATACAGATTAGAAAGAGAGCGAGAAAAAAAAGCTCTGTGGGAGGGGCAGAGCTTTATAAAACCAGTCTCCCTGTCTGCACTATGATAGCTCTCTGAGGACAGTTTCTTCTCAGCAGTGCCTCCGGGAATAACCAGGTATTTCACTGATTTCCGTGACCATGGAAACAGGCTTTCATTTTTTTCCCTCTTGCTTTGTACCGGGATTATTAATAACGAAAATTAAGGTGTGGGATGTCTTTAGAAGATGAGTAAAAATGTCATGGTGTTTTCTTGTTTAGATTTCTTTTAAGTGAAAATATTTTAGGTCAAGATTTGAATTAAATTTGTAGTAAGGCTTAATCTTGAATCTCAGAAGCCAGCAGATGCCTGTGTAACATTAGCTAAACTAAAGCGACCAATCAAGTTGAGATGTTGATTTTATCGAACAGGTTAGAATATGTATATTCTTTACTAACTAGGGTTTTGACACTGAATTGGATGGAAACGGCTAGATCAATTAACAGACAGTAATTTAAGCAATGAACGTAATCTATAAATTGTATATAAATATATAAAAATAAGAAAGATGATAGTATCTAAAGCTATCAGAAATTACAGAAATTCAGCAGCAATCTGAGTTGGGTCTGTTCAACCCCACCTTATATTTGTTGAATTTAGTTAAATAATTGGTCAATTTAGTGGAAGAGAAAAATTTGCCAAACTAGTTGTTGGATTGACTGAAATTACTTCTGATTTACTTCAGGTTTAATAAATCATTTAATACCCATAAACAGACACTCACTCATTATGAAAATCATCAAATAACAGGAACTGCTTTTAATTTTGTTGGGGGAGAATGTGCTGTTTGGATGGGATGTTTCCTTGAAGGTACTATTTTCTCTTTGTTTTCATTGATTTTTGTGGTCAATTTCTAAATATTTGCACTATGTTGTCGCAAAAAAAAATTGTTTTAAATGACACAACAGACTCAAATCTCGCATCCAGCGCCAACAAGAAGAGGGCCGTAGTGGCGCCTGGGAGCATCTCCCAGCTTCCTGATGATGTGTGCTGAGTTTTAGGGCACGTTTGTTAACTTGTGTGGCGGGAAGTGACACAGATATCTTGGAGCCCAGCCCCATGTATGCTTTCCATTTATTCCTCCTCGTGATAATATTAAGCCTTAATTAGCAGCATGATATTTGGAAGTTAATGAAACAATTTTTAAAAATTTTAGTGGTAAGAAACTCACAACAGGTATCACCTGTTTTGGGCGATGATGCTATTTGACATCATTCTGACTTCACTTATACATTGTCTCAGGCAGATTCCCACCTAATGGTAAGGCGTGGAGTTGTCTGAGAGGAAACTTGCCATATGTGTGCCTTCATAGATTTCTAAGACTGCAAACTTTTCAAACCTCATGTGAAAATCACCAGACTTGGAATCAGAAAGCTGAGATTCAGTCTAGGCTCTGACTAGCTGTGCAGTCTACATCTCCATATTTTTTGTAACAAGAAATTCCTAGGTTTTCCTGGGCAGGTAATAATACAAATTAAACAAAAACAGAGCTGCTGAAGGAATTTGGTAACTGCAATATAGACATGAGATATTATTTTTTATGTTAAATACAGTTATTTGCACCGTATTTAAAGAATAAAAACTAGACTATTTTTAAAAGAAGTAAACGCATCTGGGACAATTTAATGCTGTCCTTATGTACTTTTTTCCTTTATAAAGTCACCAGAAATCTATCAAAAGCCTCTCTGATAGTTTGTTTAAACACTTATATTTTGTTAGTGTCAGAGTGACTGATATGCAGGATACTATAAAGGATCCGGTCTAGGAGAAGCCTGCAGTTACTTTTCTGGTTCTGAGCCCTTACTTATTTTCTTCACATGAGGATAGAGATATGTTTTATTTATGATATTGATTCTCAGTTTGTTTCCAAAATGTTACTGAGGTAATTTACAAAAACGATCTGCCCAGTAAGACTAATTAGTTTCAAGACAATTTTAAATCAGTAGAAGGAAGGGGAAACAAATGTGTGAGCCACCCAAGTTAACCTAATCTCAGTGATGAAGCAAGAAAAAAAAAAAAAAAAAACACTAGCAGGGTTTGGGTTGTTGTTTTTTTTTTTTCCTACTTAATACACCTTCTAGGAGCATTACAGACTTGCTACCTTCCCGTTTTTATTTCCTCTTTCTAGCATTTTTCAAGCTAGTAACCTACCTAAACTCTTACACATAATAGTGAAGTTCACCACCAGCAGGAGAAGGAGTGTGAGGCAGTGTGGATTGAGTGGGTTCCTGAAGCCGACCTAGGCTCAAATCCCTGTACCACTGCATAGAAGCTCTGTGACCTGCAAGTTACTTAACCTCTCTGAGCGTCAGGAGGTAACCTATAAAATGAAGATAACAGTATCTACCACTTTAGATCCTGTGAGGATTGAATGAGAAGAGGTGGTTTCAGGGACAAACTTTGCCTAATTTACAGTTTTGTCTCAATAAAATACAATTGGGTGGTATTTCAAATGAGACATTTTGATACAAATTGCAATGATTTTCTTAAAAAGAAGTGTTCATGAACCAAGTGTTGCCCTAAGACTGCCCTGGATTGGGGAGGGAAGGGATTGCTGGCCCTTGCTGGGAAGCCTGCTGAGTGAGCCAAGCCTACCGAAGAGGACGTCCCTCACCTCAGGACCTCCCTCTGCCCCTCCTCAGCTCTGGGAAGCCACTGTCACAAAGGTTCCTGTGGGATGAACATCAGCGTCATTTGGTATCTTTATGTATTTTGGTAATTATAGGGTGTGTTTTAAGCCACCGTGAAAGCAAAACACACAGACAAAAAAATGATCGCTGGCCAGTACCAACAGATACCTGCACACACCTCGGGTGTGTCCATGCTTTCCGCTTCACACGGAGACTTGGGTCACGGAAGGTGTGTCTGTCCTTTATCTTCAGGTGGTAATAGGGTGTGTGTGTGTGTGTGTGTGTGTGTGTGTGTGTGTGTGTTTCGTGTTCATTGCATGCAGGCTACCTGAAATGGATTTCCCTGATTGGGGGGGTGGGTCAGGAGAAGCCGGTGGCCATTCAACCCCCCCCCCGCCCCTGTACTGAACTCCTTAGCGTGGAAAGCTGTTTTATTGCAGGCTGTGGATGTAGGTGTGTGTGTAGGGGGAGAGGGGGTACAGGAGGTAGGAGCTGGGTAAAAATACTAACCCTCAAATGATGAATCTAAGCCACTTCTAGAAACAGGGAATCTGAAAGAAGACGGACAATCTCAACTGGGGCCAACAAGAATGTGTTTGAATATTCTTGTATTTGCCCATGTGTGTGCTGGATATTTGCAGATGCAGCCCAGAGGTTGAAAACATGACCCTGGAGGCCACCCACCTGGCTTCCATGCCTTATAGTTGGGTGACACTGGTCACTTTCTTGATCCTCTGAGCTATAGTTTCTTCCTTCATAAAACACGAATAACAATGCCTTTCTCATAGGGTTTTGGCAAGAATTAAATGGTTGGTGGAATGTTTAGAGCAGCATCTGTTGTACAGTAAGAATCTAATAAATGCTATTCATTGTCATTGCTGTTATTATGATTATTATATGGAGCATCCCTACTCATTACTTAACTGTTTGTTGCATCTCAAGATCAGCTACAGGATCCAGTACAAAAAGAAAATGCAGCACCCCTTGTTCAAAATTATTAAGAATTTTAAGTTGGTGACAGCAGAGCATCACTCGAAACCTGGAGCCCCGTGAGGCTGCACAGGTCACATGACCATGAAGCCATCCGGGCTCTAGTTCATGTTGTTCCATGAAGGAAGAACAGAGAGGAAACCCCTGTGCGGAGTACACCATGTACTACTCAGCTGACATCACCCAAAGTGTTGAGTCATCTTTCAGAGCTGTTTCTTTCTTCCTCACTTTCCTTCCAGATTGAAACAATGGAAGACCTTTATGTGGCCAACACGATCTTCGCCCTCAACTTTTTCAAGCATCTGGCAAATACTAGTGCCACCCCAAATCTCTTCTTCTCTCCATGGAGCATCTCATCCACCATGGCCATGGTCTACCTGGGTGCCAGGGGCCACACTGCACATCAGATGGCCAAGGTGAGTGTCTTAAAACTCCAAACTAGGACTGGGTCCCTCCTGAATGGATTTATAGAATCACAATTTTATGCTTCAGGTAGCTTGACTTTACCAAGGTCAATAGTTGTCATGTGCCATTACCACACAAGTTCCCCAGATTCAAATCTATAAAACAACTAAACCATGAAAACTCTCAACTGTAGATTGCAGAGAGTGTCATGAACAGCTGAGGTCACCACACTGCTGGAGATGTGAGGAGAGCGGTATGACTTCAGAGGGCCTCAGCCATATTCACCCCCATGAGTTCATGTCAACAAAATGGTGTCTTGTCTGATGGCCAGTTTTCAAAATCAGGGTGGACAGGGTGTGCGGGAGCATTGTGAGGTCTTTCTGTCAAGGCCCCTGGCTTCAGTCCTTGGTGAAGGGACACAAGCTCAGTCAGGGGACTCTTTCACTGAGTCTGGGGCCTTGGAAATACACCATATACCACAGGGCTCCAGTGGGATGAATTCAGTGCCTTTAAAAGCACCTGCTCCTGTTATGTCCTAGGTCAGTGAGCTGGATAGGGTCATCATATAATTAAGATTCTTTCAGATTCACATAGCCACAGATGTTGACATTGTATGCTTGAGCTACAGGCCCTGCTTTCTCACAAGCATGCACTGTGCTCTCAGTCACACCAAAATGCCCCCGGCCACTTTGGGGTTTCCCATGAGAACCGCGCCTGAGCCTACCGATGTCCTTTGGTGGTACACGGTGACCCATTTACCATGGACTGGGTTTGAGGTTGTTCACAGGGAGGGTTAGCCAATCTCGCTGCATGAGGCCAGGAGGTAAAAGGTATCCCTCCCTGTGTGTGTGGCAGTTTAAACATCCTGGCTTACAACAAAACTCAGTTGCTCAACCCTGATACCAGCACTATTTGGCAATACTCCTTCCCCTTTACTCTCTTCCCCTTGGGCAGGGAGAAACTTGAACTGCATGGCAAACTTCAGAAAACATCAGGGTCTTAATTTTTTAACTGTAAAGGGAGCAGAAGTAACATATTGCGAGGGAGAATGAGAGATGAAGTACTCTAGGTTGTTAAAATAAAAAAAAATAGATTTTGACACCAGAGGCAAATGAACGTATTGGTCACTCTGGGCACAGACAGCTTTTCTGTATCTAGAAAGTGCTTCAAGCATGTGGGTCTATGCAAAGATGTTATATTGTTTCCCTATAACTCTGCTGCATGTACTGATTTTACAATTCGAAGGAAATTAATTCCCTACTAAAAAGAAGAAGAGGGGCTCTTTGGCTTGGAGGAAGAAGGGCAGACTTTGGGGACAGGTCAGGCTGTGTGGAGTGGTGGCTTCGCCACTCTTTACTAGCTCTGTGAGGGAAGGCACCGGAACTCTCTGAGCCTCAGCTTTCTCAACTACACAATGGGAATGAAAAGTGCCCAGCCTGGAGGACAGGTGTGAAGATTGGAGTTAACCCGCAGAGTGTCTGGGAGCTGTATCTGTTCCAGCAGCAGGCACTCCTCAGCACCTTAGCCAGGTGCCCCAGAGCATTCTGTGAATTTGCCCACATGCTGCACGACGCTATGAGCTAGAGGCTATGAATCCCATACTCATTTTACAGACCAGGAGGCGGGGCCGGGAGGAGGCCCCATGGCTGGGACTTGGTGTAACTGGTAAATTCACGGTGTTATAGTGGGAAGGATGGAAGACATGGAAGGCTCTTATGTTCAGGATGAAGCCCCAGGCCCGCTGGGGCTCCGCTGCCTGGCTGAGCAGTGTGCCTGCCTCTATTTACCCTGTGGCCTCCGCATGGCCCAGGGTCCCCTCCCATCCCCCATTTCTGCGGGGGCTTTTGCAGCAATTCAGGAAGTCTTTAGGGCTAGCCAGGAGACTCTTGATTTTTAAGGATCAACTTCCTTAGAAGGGATGAAAACCAGAAAAGCTGTTTCAAGAAATATTCCTCCCTTCTGTGAGGACGGAGTAGGGCCACTTCTTTCCAGAGTGTTAGATGGGACTTATGACGTATGATCGAAAGAGCAGAGAAAGATCCCGTAGCCCTTAACACCTGTCCTGCCAACCCAGAAGCTCACGACCTGGCTGGACAAGCTTGTGTTTCCTTTGTCAGCAGAGTCCCCACCATCAATCCATTGACCAGATAAGTTCCTCCTCACCACGGGCCTCACAAGGGATGTGACGCAGGCCCAACGGGACCCAAAGGATGTGGGAGGTTGGGGGGAGGCCTGGGTGCAGGGCCAGCCTAGGGGTGCTGAGACCGGAGACGCCAGGCTAGAAAGCTGTCATGCTGGGAAGGAGCCTGAGGCAGCTTCATAGGACCAGCCTTCACCTGCCAGCTTCACTGTGTTTTCTGGATCTGACACTTACATCATCTGACCCTGGTCCCCTGTCTCCCACATGGGTTTCTATGTGTAGTGCGGCATATGCCAATATTTTATGGGATCCCTGTTAATAGTGAGTAACCGTGTTTATGCTTAAACTAACTTGGGCTTGTAGTTTTTGACAGATTAAAAGTGGATAATAGATAAGGCCATTGAAAAACAGAGACATACAAGGTCGTGAATTAACCTTATTACTTTCTTCAAAATACTGGCATTTTTTATTTTTTTTATTTTTTTATTTTTTTATTTTTTTAAAGATTTTATTTATTTATTTGAGAGAGAGAGAATGAGAGATAGCACGAGAGGGAAGAGGGTCAGAGGGAGAAGCAGACTCCCCGCTGAGCAGGGAGCCCGATGTGGGACTCGATCCCGGGACTCCAGGATCATGACCTGAGCCGAAGGCAGTCGCTTAACCAACTGAGCCACCCAGGCGCCCAATACTGGCATTTTTTTTTATCAAGGGCATTTATGGGTTGGATGATAATTTAGATACTTTAGTGAAGAGGTTATAAATCATCTCATAATAACCAATTATTGTCAAAATGGCCAGTATATGGATTAGTATAAAATAACTCAAGCTGTTTCTTGTGAGGGAAATTTCAGTTGCAGACACTTATATATTATGTATAATGAATATCTGTGCTTGATTCCAAGATGCAAAGGCAGGGAAGCAGGTAGGACTGCTAAGAGGTACCTGAGCGCCATTGGTTTAAAGGTGAAGTAATCTAGCAGGAAAACATACTCATAAATATGTTCTCTCTAATTCCAAATGTAGGTGTTTCAGTTTGACAAAGTTGGAGCCCAGAAGACCCCAGTGACCCTAGAGAAACTCACAGGTTGTGAACTCATGCAGCAGATCCAGAAGGGCACTTATCCTGAGGCTATTTTGCAGGTATCTGACTCACTGGTTCATCATTTCTTATGCATTTTATTTCTAGAATCTTCTTGTCTTAAAGTCACAATAGTAGACAGGGAAGGAACCTAGTACAACTTCCCTTATTCATAGAAAGAAAACTAAGACTCAGAGCCCTTAAATAAATATCCTATGGGCACACAGATAAATATGGGCAGGGCCAAAACAGAATCTAGACTTCAGGACTTTTAGGTCAAAAACTGTTTCTAGATTTAATCATACCACTCTGCCATTAGTTGGGCATGTATAATTTATTCTGAAGTCGTGGTAGCAACTCCTAGAATACACATGCATGGATGCAGATTTCTTTTTTTTTTTTAAGATTTTATTTATTTATTTATTTGACACACAGAGAGAGATAGCGAGAGAGAGAGGGAGAGAGCACAAGCAGGGGGAGCGGCAGGCAGAGGGAGAAGCAGGCTTCCTGCCTGAGCAGGGAGCCCGATGTGGGGCTCGATCCCAGGACCCTGGGATCATGACCTGAGCTGAAGGCAGCGGTTTAACCAACTGAGCCACCCAGGCGCCCCTGGATGCAGATTTCTAGGTGGAAGAAGGTAAAGAGTGACGAGCAATTGAGGAATGGGGTAGGTCAGGCCCGATGATTTCATGAGAGACCACTGACCCTGAGATATCCCTCTCAACTCCTCTATTTACCTATTTATCCCGTCCATGTACGTATGTATGTATGTACATATCTATTCAGCATCTATCTATCTCAGGCACTAATTAATATCTTTTCTCCATATTTCCTTAAACATCAGCTCTCCAGCTAACTTACAGGAACTGGGCATAGATGTACTCCTATTGATGAGCAACTTCCATAATATGCTCGTGAGTTAGGTAGGGGGAGATCTCCCATAGCTTCCTTCTTGGAATGCGGCTCCATCTGCCTGTTGCCCAGGGAATTATGGGCTGGAGGAGGTCCAGAGGGCCCCGTAAAGTTGGCAATCCAGCCAGGTCTCCTGTGACACCTGGAAGTCCATCTGCAGGGCTCTGTCCGCGGCTTCACCTGCTGCTAGCTGTTGTGTGACCGAGCCCTGTGGCTGTCATCATGCTTACAAACTCCAGGCTGAGGATTGGAATTCACCTACATTTTTCATGGCTTTCTAAAACCCAGATTTCCCACTGTACAGACTACCCTTTAATGGGCACTTTCAGACACATATTAACTTTTTCTAGAATATTTCTTTGGTAATGTTTTAATATAATAAAATCCCTCAGAGACCTTGAAGTTTAGGAAATTACAAAAGAAGCCTCACTTTCTTCTAGGACGTTGGTTACTTCAAGGTTAACTACAATCTGTAGGTACAGCAAAATTTGAAACAAGTAAAACATTACCTTATGAGTTTAATGCACTATATCAAAAGTATTTCCTCAGAGATTCCTCTAAAGTGTCAGAAAATTCTAAGTGTGCATTAATACAGCATTTTATTGTTGCATTGAAAAAAATACATTTACTTAACGAAGTATCTTGTTTAGCCGTCCTGTGTTACATAAAGAGATCCCTCCTTTCTGTTTAAGGCACAAGCTGGAGCTTCAATCCATTCATCCTTCCGCTCTCTCAGCTCTGCGATCAATGCATCCACAGGGGAGTATTTATTGGAGAGCGTCAATAAGCTGTTTGGAGAGAAGTCTGCGAGATTCAAGGAAGTAAGTGAAACCTGCCATTGAAATGGCAGGGCCCCCAGTGTGCACTGAGGTCACCTTCAGAGCTTCTGTCTGTGATTCACAAGGAGAGTCAGAATTCCACACCAGCTCCCTGAGGCTCCAAACGCCCGGGGGGGTCACAGCTGCAGTTGCGCATGCTCCCGTGGCTGGGCGCTCCCTCCCACGGCTGCAAAGGCCCCGTGTGCAGAGTGACTGCTAAAGCGGGGGGAACAGTGATTTCCAGAAACGCTACCCACGAGCCAGCTTTCACCCCCTACTCAGGGTCTATAATGCACAGTGCAGGAGGGCAAATGAGTGTGGGCAAGGGGGTCAACGGCGCACTTTTAATCCACACTATTTCCTCTTTCAGCCTCCCAGCCCCCCATAGCCACCCTCCACCCTTTCCCCTACCTCAGCCCCTTAACCACCCCCCCCCAATCTTGACAAAAGCCCATGATTTACAATTACACCAAGTCTTTTTCAGTACATATTCTGTGTCACCTTTGGCCCGTTTCTTGCTTTAAAGGAATATATGCAACTCTCCAAGAAATACTACTCTACTGAACCCCAGGCTGTCGACTTCCTAGAATGTACTGAAGAAACCAGAAAAAAGATTAATTCCTGGGTCAAGACTCAAACCAAAGGTAAAACCAAAGCAATATTTCCTGTTCTTCTTTGCAGTTAGGAACGTTTGATCTATTTTTTCAAAAAATCATTCCTGCACTTGGCCCTAACTCCCTTAAAATTTACCTCACCTTAATTATTTCGGTTAATGTAACCTGATTCTTGTTTAGCTGAGTGGTGTTTTAAGTGAGAAAAAATAGTTGAGGTCTACTATAGGAAGACATGTGTTCAGTACTTAAATAATCTGATTTTGGATATTACCTTAGGATGGAAATATGAAAGCAGGCAGACACGTCTTCCAATGTAGGAAACACCAGTATTGAAATAATTGTGCTCTGTATCCGCTGTGGACAAAAACAAAGAAAAACGGCGCGACCCTCCACTGAGTAACTGGTGTGAGACCCCTGGCAATAGAGAAGGAGGGATCAGAAACTTATTTTACCTGTTTTTCACCATTCTGAGCCTATCTGCTGTGAGGGTCTTTTGGTCCCTGCTAAACCACTTTCTACTATTGCAGCTCATGTCCCTAAATCTTTCATGGGCTCCTGCCTCGCTTTTGTTTTTTACCAGGACTCCCACTTAACTAAATCATCCATTCATTGTTATTGAATTCAGTCCTTCAGTGAACAGTGGTTAATCCACCGTATATTTTGTGCCAGGCACTGTACACGTTCTGTAAATGAAACAGAACCAGATCCTGCCACCCTAGAACTTACAGTGTAGGGGAGGCGTTCAGTTCGGTCGGCGATGGCTGTCAGGTGGTCACAGGTGCTTTTATGGGGACATACAGGACTCTGCACGGGAGCACGTGAGGAGGGCGCTTGCCTCCAGTGTCACGACGGGAGGAGTCTCCCTGAAATGAGAAGTGTTTATGTTGTGATTAGGAGGATGGGCTGCAGCCGGGCAGGCTAAGGGCATGGTGCCTGGGGAGAGAGTTCTAGACACAGTGCACAGATGTGCCCAGATGCAGAGGTGAGAGAGCTTGGCCCTCTGGGGCAAGGAATGCCGATTGGCTGGACTCAAGTGCAGAGCACAGGAGAGGGGATGAGACTGCAGAGGGGACTGACTTCACACACTTGTCCTGCTGCCCCATGTCCCCACCCAGAAACAGCGTCACTGCCCTCCAGCTGGCCTCTGCAGAAGATCTTACTCTTCGCTTTGACTTTTGAATTCTTAATAATCCAACAGACCATGCTGGATGACTGCTGGCCCCTGAGCTCTCGGTTGCTACCTCCATACTTGCTTCTTACGCACTCCTTAATGTCAGAGTTTAATTTAGTGGCAAACCCAAGTCCTAGCCTTTCCTAGAGCTATCGCCTAGCCGCTCGTCTCTTCTCCACCCCTTGGGTGCTTTGTTAGTTTCATGACTCCTGTTAACGTTTGCCTTATTACAGCCTTCAACTGTGACTGAACTGATTTTATTTTGTTTCCTTTGCCATCCCATATAGACTAAAATTATTTGAGCATAGGGCCAATGTGTCACCCTTCTCCTGGGTCCCCACAAAAATTAGCACAGTCTTTGGCTGATAATGAAAATCCTTCATTCTCCCAAATCTCCAGGTAGAATTATAGGTCGTAAATTGCTGGCTAGCAACACATAGATGGATTTTTAGGAAGAAAAACACAGAGATTATTACGAAGGTGAACTGCCCTGGTATTTCATAGATTTATGAGCTGTTAGGACCGGAAAGGTCCTTGGAGATAATTTATCCAAATTTGCCCCTTTATGGTTGTGGACTCGTGGTCCCTGAGGGGTTAACGACTTGTTCAAGATTCCACTACCAGTTAGTGGTGAAACTGGGGGTTCCTCTTCTTTGATCCTTAGTCTAATTCTGAATTCCTTATTTGGGTGTTTAAAGAGTTTGTTTGATAATGTAGGCAAAAAGTAAATGCTCACGTAACTCCGATGTTTAAAACATTGTTTCAAGGAATAGTTTGGTGTCTTAGTTTCTTAGCTCCCATACTGGGAAAAAGCACACGAACCAAGTTCTGTAGAACTTATAAAATGTTTTTGTTTCTCTGAAAATAGTTGTTCTACTTTTGTTCTTCATTGCTATAGCTGATTTCAAAATTACTGTTCTAAAATACTGACACAGAGGAATCAGGGAAAGTGAAGTTTAACAGAAGTGAAAGTAAAAACTGACTGCAGAATTCAAGAGATATGTAGAAGTTCTGCTTTTCTGAGCACAGCACAAATTCATTTTCTCTCTAAGCATTGTCTTCAGTGGCCGTGAATCAAGCAGTTGTGTTGCCAGAATGCCTTGTCGTCCTTTGGGCTGACTGCTTTATCAAATTTTGTAATAATTTGAGGGAATTGTCTGTTTTATTTATTATGATCACATGAATTCTGTCATTTACATCACAACGTTAAGTAAAGCCATAGCAATTTTCAATTGTAACCAAGAGTTTTAATTGCCTGGGGGATATATTGAATGGATATATGGAAGCTGGTCAGATTACACTGACCTTTATATTAGTCCTGTGTCTGTCAGTAGGATATGGAGGTGGTGGAGGCCCACACAGAATCCTGACCAGTTTACCACTTTGTGACCTTGAGGAGACTGCTAACCTTTCTCAGCGGGGGATCTTTTGGTGTAAGATCTATTAGGGATACCCCAATAGAATAGTTGTCAGGATTAAGTAAAATAATGTATTTGAGTAGTTGAAAAATTATAGAGCAGGTATTAACTGTAAATCGGCTGTTTCTTAAGCCATTTTTTTGTTAACTACCACATTTGAATGTTATAATTCCTGAGACCCTTCTTTCTCTGCACTGCCACAGTACTTTGCATTCTGCTACAGGATTTCTGGCACACTGTTTCACTGCTGATTTTGAATACCTCTTCCAATATTCTCAGCCCCTCCAGCGCAGTTCTTCCTTTCTCCTACTGTAGGTCTAGCATGACTTAAAAAAAAAGGTTTTTGAATGAATCAGTGGGTCAGACCCATAGATTGTCTGGATCAGATATAGAAGGAGCATGAAACTTTGAGAAAACAACATAAAAGGAGGTGAAAATCTTTCCATGTTTGATAGTCATTCTAAATTTTAAATGCATTACTTCTTCATTTTCTTTTGGACTTTGCAAACCTTCTGAGAAAGGTAGTCTGCTTTATTTATGCTTTAAATAAATTGGGAGAAAAACTCGAGCTTGAGATCATCACCTCTGCAGAATCTGACAAATGTAGATGCTGAGTTTGATGGTGACTCAAGAGATTCAAATCATAATAACATCACAGTTCTTGGTCACAAACCTAAACATATGTCATGTTTTCTGTAGGCAAAATCCCAGACTTGTTACCTGAAGGTTCTGTAGATGGGGACACCAAGATGGTCCTGGTGAATGCTGTCTACTTCAAAGGAAAGTGGAAAACTCCATTTGAGAAGAAATTAAATGGGCTTTATCCTTTCCGTGTGAATGCGGTATGAGACAACAAGATGGATTTTCCTATCATATATTTTAGGACCTTGGCCAAGACAGAAAAAGAAGAGTTAGAGACCACTCATGCTCCTGCATGACTTCTTAGTCATAAATTATGCACATTGGATAGTTGGTTGACTCCTTCAAGCTACTGAGTATCGCTCAGTAATTTTCTGAGAGGCCATATGAGTGATGGTGAAGACCATGGGCTTTATAATTACGTAATTCTGGTTGCAGTTGTAGGTTCTACCACTAAGGTTCTACTAGTAACCATCTATGACCTTATTTATCTTCTGGGAATTCCATTTTTTTAATCAGTAAAACTTGGCTGTTGTAAGGATTCAGTGAGATTTCACAGAGTTCTTGGCCCATGGCAGGTACTGAACAAATATTTTTGTATTATTATAATTATTATTGTTGTCCATCTTAATAATAGATGGAATCATGATAAAGCTAATAAGAGCAACTGTAAGGTATAAATAATTTATTTTGTTGATTTTGAAGATTGTATTTCTTCAACACTAAAGCAGAATCTATTTCTCTTTTATGTCTAATTGTAAATCTCCTGACATCTTAGTATCAACTTTCATATTTTACTTCTTAATAATTTTAGACTCAGCGCAAACCTGTACAGATGATGTACTTGCATAAAGAGCTGAACATTGGATACATAAGCGACCTAAAGACTCAGATTCTGGAACTCCCATATGCTGGAGGCGTCAGCATGTTCCTGTTGCTTCCAGATGATATTGGTGATGTGTCCACTGGCTTGGAGTTGGTAAGCCATTCCAGCTTGGATTGTTTGAAACCTCTGGAGCTAAACTCACCTTTCATGATAAACATGTCTACAGGTCTAGAAAATGGTATGCAGCTCCTCACAGAAACATGTGAATTGGTTGATAATAAACGTTCATGTCTCAAACTTTCATTCAGAGCATGAAAATGTGTGACACATGTTACGTTCTTGCAAATATTTTACCGGTGTATTACATTTTTATATTGCCCACAATATGGTAAAGTTACAGTCACTGATTGTTAACATGAGACTTAAATGTTATTTGCCTTCTTTTCTGAGTACTTACAGGCCTTTTTTTTTTAATTTTGGGTTTGTAGCTGGAAAGTGAACTAACCTATGATAAATTCATTAACTGGACCAGCAAAGACACTCTAGCCGAAGACGATGTGGAGGTGTACCTCCCCCAGTTCAAATTAGAAGAGCGCTGTGAACTCAGATCCATCCTCAGGAGCATGGGCATGGAGGAAGCTTTCAGCCAGAGCCAGGCTGACTTCTCAGGAATGTCCGACACCAATGACCTGTTTCTGTCCCAAGTGTTCCATCAAGCCACCGTGGACGTGAACGAGGAGGGCACGGAAGCAGCTGCCGGCACCGGGGCCGTTCTGTCAGGGAGGACTGGCCATGGAGGTCCACGGTTTGTGGCAGACCATCCTTTCCTCTTCTTTATCATGCACAAAATCACCAAGAACATCCTTTTTTTTGGCCGGTTTATCTCACCTGAAAACTGATAAGTTCTGTTTCTGCACAGGATTTTGTAGTATGAGCTGTAAGCTTCCACGAATTGCAGTAAGTTCCGAAAATTTAGAGACTTTTCCTATACATTTCTGCTTTTTTCTGAACAGCTCCTACTACACGCTAATGATAAGTACAGAAATAACTAGATAGCTGTCCACCATAACGTTGCAAGCCTATTAATCATTTGGTCTCCTAAGTGGAATGATGCTCCAGTTAGGTCTTCCTTACTACCGGTTTATTGTATAGCATTAACTTTTACTGTATTATTTATTATTTTATAGAATGGTCTTAATTATTGTTAACTGTCAGTTTCATATAGCTGATAGTTACAGAAGCAGATGATCAGTTATTTTTCTATCTAAAAAAGGACATTTACTTGTTTGTATAATGAGGGATAAGTGGTTGTCCTTTCCATGCCCTTTTTATAATAAATACCTAGAAGAAAGCATTGAACAACAGGAAAATACATGTTATGTGCATTTCTAGCATTATGTATCACATAGATATGTCTATAACTTATAAAATTACAACTACATATAAAAAATAAACATGTTTCTACACCACCATTTGTTTGTTGTCATTCCATTGGGTGGTTAGCTCATAAGACTTGTCATACCTTGATCCCCAGGGATCAGGCATCATGTCTCATTTTGTGGGGACCAAGAAAAAAACAGAATAAAGGAGATAAGAAGATATCCGCCCCTCCAGGGATCCCCAGTGTTGGGAGTGGGTTGGGGTTGTGTGTAAAATGGTTTAGAGTTGCCTTCTCATAGCAGGAAAAGGCGTAGCAAATCAGAAAAGCTTGAGTCAAAGTCCTTTGGGGATCCTCATGGCTAAACCTCAAGGACATCGGGAATAAACACCAGGTCCAATGGTTCAGACATAGAATCATGGTCAAGGTCATTGAGCTGGGGGAGAGGAGAGGGGAAGATGGGCTGGGCATAAGAGTAAGAGGGGAAACACAAATGTCTTCTTTTAGGGGTGTTTGCTTCAAATAGTGCTGAAAGCTTTGAGCGGGTCAAAGACAGAGCAGAACATGACTTAGGTCCTGAGAACTGAGGCGGGTCTGGTTTGGGGAGTCCGAGCTGGCTGCAGAGTCTGGCTGCAGGGGTGTGGCTGGACTCTGAGAATGTCTCCCAGGCAGCAGCCTCCCCTTAACGGAAGGCAGGGACAGATGACCCACTGGAATATGGTGGCTAAGCAGGTAATATCAGGCCCTTGATTGTCAGCCCCTACAGCTAGTTTTAGTCCTTATGAGTCGTCTAACCATGGGCCAGGAAGGGTGCTTCTTTATGCTTCGGTTTTCAGTCTAGAAAAAGTAATGCTTTTCTCATAAGGTTGCCATGATGGTTAAATGAATTCGTACATCATAAACAATTGAAAGAATGCTGAGCACGTACAGAGTTTAATAAGTACTAGTGCTGGTGTTTATTATCTTTGTCAGAAATAAAACTGTCTCACTGTCAGCAGGTCAAATGTAGAATCCTGGAAAATTACAAAAAAAAATAGGTGTGTAAAGCTTGAATTGTGGTTTGTTTCCTCTACATCAGATATTCTTGAAAATTAAGGGTTCTGCTTGCATTCTCTTACGTTTAGATTCATTTTCCTATGAACTTCAATAATTCAATAAGTCGCAGCTTTGGGAATCATTGAGTCTTTAGATATCCATATTTCTCACTCTCATTATTGAGTTAGATGATGGGCATGGAATTCGAGGTTCAAAGCACTCTTCAAGACTTTAGTGGTATGATTTTATGGTCTTCTAGCACCAAAAATTGCTGATGGGAAAGTTGATGTCAAGATAATTCTTTCTCCTTGTAGTTTTCATAATTTTCTTTGTGTTCCTAATGATGTTTTTGATATTTCCTTGCATTAAGACTATTTTTTAGAATTGTTCTGAAAAATTTGTCTTGCTCATCAGCAGATTTTTTCCATCTGGAAACTTGTATCTTGCTTCAGTTCTGGGAAACTCTCAGCCATTGCTGTGGACTGAATGTTTGTGTCCCTCTGCCCCATATGTATGTGAAAGCCCTCGTTTCTTTTTTTTTTAACATTTTATTTATTTATTTAGTTATTTTTTATTATTATGTTAATCACCATACATTACATTATTAGTTTTTGATGTAGTGTTCCATGATTCATTGTTTGTGTATAACACCCAGTGCTCTGTGCAGAACGTGCCCTCTTTAATACCCATCACCAGGCTAACCCATCCCCCCACCCCCCTCCTCTCTAGAACCCTCAGTTTTTCAGAGTCCATCGTCTCTCATGGTTCATCTCCCCCTCCGATTTCTCCCCCTTCATTCTTCCCCTCCTGCTATCTTCTTCTTTTTTTTTTTTAACATATAACGTATTATTTGTTTCAGAGGTACAGATCTGTGATTCAACAGTCTTGCACAATTCACAGCACTCACCATAGCACTACTGGGTATTTACCCCAAAGATACAAATGTAGGGATCTGAAGGGGTACATGCACCCCAATATTTATAGCAGCAATGTCCACAATAGCCAAACTGTGGAAAGAGCCAAGATGTCCATCGACAGATTAATGGATAAAAAAGATGTGAGATATATATACGCACACACACACACACACACACACACACACACACACACACAATGGAATATTATGCAGCCATCAAAAGGAATGAAATCTTGCCATTTGCAACAACGTGGATGGAACTGGAGGGTGTTATGCTGAGCAGAATAAGTCAATCAGAGAAAGACATGTATCATATGACCTCACTGATATGAGGAATTCTTAAACTCAGGAAACAAACTAAGGGTGGCTGGAGTGGTGGGGGGTGGGAGGGATGGGGTGGCTGGGTATGTGCTATGGAAAGCCCTCATTTCTAATGTGATGGTATTTGGAGATGGGGCCTTTGGGCAGCGGTTAGGGTTAGATTAAGTCATGAGGGTGGTATCTTCATGATGCAGTTGGTGCCCTGAGGAGGAGATAAGGAATCAGAGCTTCCTTTCTCCACCATATGAGGACACAGAGAGTAGGCAGACTACTGTGAACCACGAAGAGAGCCCTTACCCAAAACCCAACCAGCCTAGCACCCTGATCTCAGATTTCCAGCCTCTAGAACTGTGAAAAAAAAAAAATGTTTGTTGTTTAAACCACCCAGTCTCTGGTATTCTCTTATAGCAACCCATAGGAATAGGGCAACCATTATCCACTCATTGTCTCTTCCCACTCAATTTATACTCTTCTTCTAAATTCCTATGAGAATATTATTGATGCATCTAGAGTTCTCTCTGTCTTGGAAATTTTTGGAATACCTAATAAATTCACGTGGTCTAAACATCAATATCATAAAAAAGGCCAGAGCAAAAACTATCCCTCCCACCCCTGTTCCCCATTCATATAGTTCCTATCCCTATGGCCCTATTAGTAATGTCTGTACATATTGCCACATACACATAGGGCAGGCCATAAATGATGACAACAAACAAAACTGTGTTGATAAAATTATGTTGTTAACTTAGGATACTAATACCTCTTTTTCTTTCCCTGCCCAGCCCCAAACAGGCATCAAAATAATGCACAACCATGATTTTATCAACATGGGTAGTATATCTATAAGAATTTTAATCAAGAGGTAAGTGGGAAAGGAATCTGGAGAAGGTTCGGGGGAAATCAATGGGTAAAACTTAGTTTGTGACTTTAGAGAAGAGGAAAACATTTCTTGGCCGGTTTGGCAGTTTCTGCATTGATGCATTTAATGCAACATAAATAACTGGGGCGTCTCCGTGCTGGGCACTGATGTAGCCCAAATCACTCTCTGGTGAACTACTGCCAGTCAAGATGAACGGTCCCTCTATCTACAGCTTCCATGTGATACTTTCAGCTAATAACAGTCTGGAGGCATCAGTAGATACTACTATCTGCTCAGCACACGTCAGGCAGGAGCAATAGAATTTCTTGCACAAGTCACATTCCCTAGTGAAGTCCAGAGAAACGCTCTGCTCTGGGTTCCGCACTAACCTTCAAATGTTAAACTCTGAGCCAGTTTGCCAGAAGACAAGTGTGCCCCACGAAGAGAAAAATGCAAAGTGTATGAAGAACATTCCAGATCTGTTAGAAGTCGAGAGGCTCCTTCTCTCCCTCAGTCCCTCTGGGACTTTCTCAGTTCCATCCCTCTCCCCACTCCCCTTACCACCCCACCATGCACAGGCATTCAGCTGTAGAAAATAAAACAATAACTATGGTTTTTCCTGTTGAAGAAGTCTGGAGGAGTGAGGAAACACTCACAGGAAGAAATAAAAGGAAATTTAAAAATGATGAACTGGCATCTGACTCACGACTGTGTCTAAAACACTGGTCCAGACCCCTTGTTCCTGGGGTGGGAGAATGGACATGGGACTGGACGGAGTGGTTTCCTGGGTTCCATACCAACCCATCAAGGGAGAAGAGCACCAACATTTGTTGGATGCCTCTAGCACACGGCACCTTAAGAGCGGCTTTAACAATTTAACAGCAAATATTTCACCCATAATATTTTCTATTTTACTGCCCATTATTATTCCACTAATTTAGAGCTTTTTTTTTTTTTTTAAGAAATACTACGGGGGAAAACTACTAGAATTGCTTCCGACTGGCAGACTACAGAAGAGTAAGCAAGGAAAGTGTGAGTTGTTAGAGTTTGTCAGAGCTCAGGTTTCTACCTGTAGACGGACATGGAAAGTGTAGGTAATTAAGTCATTCAGGCAAAACCTTCATTGTTGATCTCTCTCTTTTGATTTGAGCTCCTGGCCAAGAGAAACCTGAAAGGAAAAGTGTATGGGCTTGTAAAAGTGAATCAGAGGGTGGGGCCGAGAAAAGGGAGGTGCTAGAATTTTTAAAGATGATTCCTACAGTTAACAGTTACTAACTCAGCCACAATCTCTTATTAAAGGAACCAGTTGCCAGTTCTGCTCCAGCAGAAGAAAATAAGGTATCGTAAACATTTTTTTGTTTAAAAATGTTTATTTATGCTTTCCTTCTTTATTGAAGTGTCTAGCTAAGTAGCAAATGATCAAGAGCTCCCAAAGACAGAAATAATAGGTAAAGCTTCATCTCCCCAAGAATTCTATACAAGTCAGACAGATTTAACCCCAAGCTGGTTCAAAGTTTGTATGGGAAAGAGGGCAAAGGGGGAGAGAGAGCATTCATTTAAAGGGAGCTAGAGAAATGGTTTTACCAGGAATTGTGAAGCTGTGAATGGCATCTCCTCCAGCCACATTTCTAGATTGGCCACCTCTGTATCTGTCAACATAGGCAAAGAGAAATAGAATATTCTCTGAATAATTGAGGCCACCCCCTTCTAACCCTTCAGAAGAGCGGGCTTGGTAATATGAATTTGATCCCCATCATTAATGTGTGGAATTAATGGTTTGGCTCTCTTTTGCTGTCCCCACCCAACATGGCCACCACTCCATGGGCTGTTAGGTTTCTTCTCTTCCATCGAGTAGCCTAAGCCCCAGCCTTCCACTCTGTGCTCGTTGTAAAACACCCCAAACTATTGCTTCCCTCACAAAATGGCTTTGGGTAAGTATAGAAGTGCTGAGGGGAGATGTCATCCTCTGGGAGATGCAGCTCCAAGAAGTAGGCCCTATCATTAGTCTGATAGTCATGGAGCCTTGGGTATCCTTTTATGGAAAACGGGGTGAGGTTCCTTCCCACTTCCTCCTCCTCCATACCATCCGCCCTCCTTTCTTCCTCCTTCTGTTCACCTTCTTTCCTCACCCAATCCCTCCATTTTACCATTAAAATCTTGAAGACAATGAGATGCAATGACAAAGGCGATTGTATTCAGAGTCCAGAGAATGGGATTGCAGTGACAACTTCGCTCTTAGCTAGCTGTGCACATTGGGCAGCACATTTAAACTCTCTGGGCCTTAGTTTCCTAGGAGATAAAACAAGGCAATTGGAATAGAGGGGACTCCAAGCTTCTTTGGGACTATGTGTGTCTATGATGTGACATTTTGATGAATTACAGTATCCTTTTATTACTTTCATAATTCTCCAGTTTTTCCCCTAAGGCCTTGAGAGATTGAAATTTACATATTTTACATATATATATATTTGTAGTATTATATATATATATATAAACTGACACATCTGTAACTCCTGAAAACTGCAAAGAACAATTTATTCTGAAAATGGCATAGTAGGTTTCTGATCTAGACATTTATAATCTTCTCTGAAAAAAAGCATTGTCTAACTCTTGTACGGAAAAATTATTTCCTGTAAAACGTCATCCTAAAATTCTGCATCCTTCAGAAAGCACTTTTCACTCTTGGGTTAAATTTTACCAATGGGTTAGCACTTCTATAAATTTTTTGTAAAAAAAAAAAAATGGCAGGAATTGTTCTTTTATGTTCTGGGCAATACCTCATATATTAATGCTGCTATTAACAAGACGATGAAGCTGAAGATAACTGGATATTAACTTTCCACAAGTAATTAGCTCTTTCATTAGATAAAATTATTGTTTTCAGGAATTTGTTATAAGTAATTAAACTCTAGAATAACCATAAACCATAGGTAGAAAGATAAAAATCTCAGGCCCTAAGATATTACTTTCTCCTCCCTTCACGGTTAGTATGGTTTTGAGGAGGCAGGCATTTTCCATACGAATGTAATTCATGAATTCTAAAGAGATAAAGTTTAATATATAGGCAGTAAACAAAGCATCATTCGAATGAATATAGCTGTAAAGAGATTAAGGAGGTTATTTCCAAGATGGCACTGGATCCATCAAGAAAAAATACATACTGGCAAGTTTCAAACATTTTGTGAGGATGTAGACTTACTACAAAACTAGAGTTGTTTTTTCTTCAGTCAAGTAATATTAGCCTAGGATTATCATCAGCTTCAGCAATAGGCAGTAACTACAACTGAAGCAGGACTTAAAGGGGGAAGTCCTTTGACTAAGTGCAAGCCTATGGTTAGGACGGATTTCAACAGGATCACTGTTAATCCAATTCATAATGAAACCAAAACTTGGGGGCGCCTGGTTGGCTCAGATGGTTAAGCGTCTGCCTTCGGCTCAGGTCATGATCCCGGGGTCCTGGGATGGAGTCTGGCATCAGGCTCCCTGCTCAGCGGGCAGCCTGCTTCTCCCTCTGCCTCTGCCTCTCTCTCTCTGTGTCTCTGTCTTTCATGAATAAATAAATAAAATCTTAAAAAAAAAAAAAAAGAAAGAAACCAAAACTTGGCCTACACATGCCTCTCCCTTGATTCAACTATTTGACTAGAGAGAACTCCTGACCTTTCTAAAGTTCTGAGGGCCAGGTGATATCAGTATAAGATGAAGTTCTATACAACATTGGCACTAATGGGAAATTCTAGGTCTAGGAAGTTGATTTATTTTTAATCATTTAACCAGTCTGAGAGATTATTTGGTGATAAAATGACATCAGATTGAAGTAATTTCTTTGATAGTAGTTATTTCTTTGATTTCTTTGATAGTAGTTATTTCTTTCTTCTATTGAAGTAGTTATTTCTTAAAAGACTGAAAATGTTGGGTAAATAGAGGTGAAATTTAGAGGTTGAATGTAATTTTTTTTAAATGAGTAAAACCGAGTTTTTTTGTTCAAGAAGACCAGTTTCAGAGGGTCCCAAGTAAGTGAGAATAAGGGCAAAGAGCCTTGACTTCCCTACTTCTCTATGAGCATTTTCCACTAAACTGTGTATGGTTTTAAGTTTAAGTAAATAAAAAAATGGCAGCTGGAGCCCAAACAATGAACATTGTAAAAAAGTAATAAACAAGTATTTATAAGCATCCATTTTGTGTAAAGTTCTGAGCAAGGTTTTGTTGGAGGTACAGAAAATTTTACTCTCAAGGAACTTACCCTGGAGTTGGAAAGATATAAGCATGTGAAGACAGAACTAGCAGTGGGATAAATGTAAATAGGGGGCAAAAATGATATTGTGGGACTTACTCCTCTGCACATAAGAGATCAGGAAAAGCTTCTAAAGAAAAGCAGAAACTTGCACAGAATTGGATTTCAATAGAGTAAATGAAGATCAAAGCATTCCAGGAACAAAGAATATCATAACTAAAGGCATGAATGAATAAATACGGTTAAAAAGTACAAAAATATGGGTGATAGGTGAGAAAAAGCACAACGTTTCTTGAAAAAATGTCTAGTGATTTCTCATCTACTGTATAAAGTCAGCAGTGCATTGAGAAGCACAGGGCTGACCTTGACGAGACCTGGTTCCACCGCCATGTTTATTGTGATTTTCTCAACAAGGGGCTGCCAACTGACTAGCACCCAATTGTCCTCTGCTGTGCCTTATCACTAAAATTTGAGCAATTTCCTTAAACTCTCTGGACTTCAGTTTTCTAATATGTAAACTAATAATGTTGGTGTGGAATTTTCCAACAGTCTATATGGCTGTTATGAATAGGTACACATATAAGGATGAATGGAAATATATACGTTACATATGCTATAAAATTGGATTAGATAATATAAATTTTGGTCATTTCAAGAAGGGGTGATTAAAAAAGATAGTTGTGTCAGCCAAAAGTAAAATAAGTGGAAAGGATTATTAACAAGTTTTCCATCTCTGCTTTATTTTTCTTAGGTTTTCCCAATGGACTCTCTAGCCAAATCAATCAACCAATTTGCCCTGGACTTCAGCAAAAAGCTGGCTGAATCGGCTGAGGGCAAAAATATTTTCTTTTCTCCCTGGGGCATCTCGACCTCATTGGCTATGGTGTATTTGGGCACCGGAGGTACCACGGCCTCCCAGATGGCCCAGGTGAGCGGGAGAGGTCAAGCGTCTTCTGTGGCCTTTAAACCGAGTGCTCTCTTTAACTGTTAGTATCATTTGCTTCCTGAAGTCTGCATAGCTTACATTTTATAGCCATATCCTTCAAAACAAAAAATACACTTAAACATTTTTTTTAGGCCGTTTTAAAAGTTGTCTGGGAAAGAGAATCAACTGGAAAAATCGCTGCTTAAAAAACCACCTAAGAGCCCATGTTCCCTAGCAAGATCAAATGGAGAGAAGATAAGGTTATTAGGTTTGGTTCAGCACCAAAAAAAAAAAAAATTATTTTGATTATTAATACATTTCAAGAAGTAATGGCTCATACTTTATTTTATTTTTAAATTTTAATTCCAGTGAAGTTAACATACAGTGTTATATTAGTTTCAGGTGTACAATACAATGATTCAACACTTCTGTGATTTACTCAGAGCTCATCATGATAAGTGAGCTCTTAACCCCCTTCATCTATTTCCCCCATGTTCCCCACCCACCTGCCTTCTGGCTACCCTCTCTTTGTTCTCTCTAGTCAAGAGTCCACTCTTTCCCTTGCCTCGTTTTTCTTTGTTCATTTGTTTTGCTTCTTAAATTCCATATATGAGTGATATCATATCGTTTTTGAATGGCTCGTACTTTAAGTAATAGAATTAGTCATCATCTTTCCAATCTCAGAAGGATTTCCTTGAAGACACAAATAGAAAAATCAAGTGAATCCTGTTCTTTGTGCTTTGGTTGTTTCTGTGTTCAATCTGTGGTTGTCTGGATGAATGTAAAGAAACCATTGAGAGCATTAAAATAACAAAACAATAGTATTGTATAAGCAATTATTGATTTGCTGTAAGCATCTTCAAAGCATTGTGCGTGCGTGTGTGCACATGCACACGTGCGTGCGAAAGTAGAGCCATACATGGCAAAATTATAGTTTAAAAAGCCATGTGTAAATGTGTGCATGTGTGCACACATATAAATACATGTGTGTCTGCTTTAAAATAGACATAGAAAAGAGTAAATCCAGCCCTAAATCATGCAATAATCAAAAGGCCAAGTGATAGAATTTCCACTCAAGGTGGTGCCCTTTGGGCAAAATACAGAAAACAGCACAGCCAGTAATTCTGAATGAAATGGGCAGAATTTATCTTCTGTCAGCTTGGGCCTAGGATGTCACCCTTATTCTTTTAGTTCACAAGATATTGTATAGTTTCAAACAACACCAAAATCCTGGTTCACCCCTAGTTAATAATTGGTTAATTATTAAAAGGCTTAACTGTTAATGTGATAGACAATCTTAGACCGATTCCAACTTGGGTCCATTGTGTTCCTTGCCCTTGCTTTATTTAAATGCTATTTACATATCAATAGCAACGCTATGCAATGGAGACTGAGTTGCTCATGTACCCCCTGTCTGTCACTGGGTGTCAGTCAGCACAAGCTTTTTGGTAAACCAGACTTTATTCCTCATTGTGAGCTGGGTCCAGGCTGGGAGATGGGATTATCACCTCATTTTCTACTGTTGTAGAATTCAGGGGAAGCAAGCATGTCCACATCCTTCTTGTTAACTTCCAAATGAAGTGCTGGGGTGAACACAAAGAATATGTCTATAACCGTCAAGTGGGGTAGACAATGAGACCTGAAACACTTAACTAGAATAAACAACTAAAATCCCTGAATTTTACAGATAATTGGAGCAATAGTGGCTTATGCTTAAATCGTCTAAATGATGCTCTCAATTAACACCTAGTTTTCAAAAAACCGTAGATTAAAAAAAAATAAAACATGGAATACAAGAGATTTTTACCTCTAAGGATCTTCCCAACATCATCTCAAATGTCCTATAAAGAGTATAAGAATAAAGAGACCAGCTAATTAAACAGGAGCTTAAAAATTTATTTAAAGGTTGCTGCCAACTTACTCCATCCATCCAGTTAACACATCATTTAAGTGAAATCAGAGCCCCTCTGGTAATTAATCATATGCTCCGTAGTGAAGTGAACAACTGACTTGTATTTGCTGATGAGTATTTCAGATGGTTAAGTCTTCGCAAAGTATGTTCACATATTGCCTTTTTATTGAAATGACAGGTGCTTCAGTTTGGCAGAGACCAGGACATCAAATCTTCTCCTGAAACTGAGAAGAAAAGAAAGACGGTATGTCTTATTTTGAATACACATTTGATAAGGAGAAAACACTTGCAGCAAATGTATTTTAGTGGCTGATTTAAGCAAACTTTGATAGGGAACGTCTCTGAGAACAAATATCATCAAACAATAGAAAATTTTTCAAAATACAAAAACGTGTATGCCTTTTGGAAGGGTCGTATTCTTTCCCTTTCTCTCTCTCCATCTTTTCCTTCCACTTCAAAACTGCCCCACCTTCAAACTTGCTCTTGCCTTTACAAACTGTGAAGAAAACGATGCCCTAACAACTTGTAAATTCTTGCGCTGCTAACATTAAAGAAAACATTTTTTGTCTACCATGCAATTGATTTCAGCTTTTGTTTGCAGTACACCAAAATTCATTGAGATAGAGGTTGTTCATATATAGCTAGTTCTTGTTCAGTGTTTTTATTTGACTGTTTGACTAATCCCTTTTCTTTCAAAGGAATTCGGTTTGGGCAAGGTTGAAGAAATACGCTCTCACTTCCAGACACTTATCTCAGAAATCAGCAATCCCAGCAAGGCTTACGTACTTAAAACAGCCAACAGGATATATGGAGAGAAAACCTACCCATTTTACAGTGTAAGTGCAAACGTGTCGTGTTAAGCTGATGGGAAGGAAAGAAAGAGGCATGTGAGACCAATCAGTAAACTCTGTACATTTCTCTAGAGATCCCGGGGACAATGTTCATGTATGGGGTCAGCATTTCTGGTAAACAATCATTTAGACCACCAATAGGTATCTAGTAAAGGAAACCAATAATGAGTCTCAAGCCAGACCTAGGGATCAGATCTTTATGCTCAGAATAAAGGGGTCCACCTCAGCTGGCAAACAGGTTCAGAAATGTGGTTTGCGTAGTCTCTGGGTTAGCATTTGTTTCACGGGGAATGGAGCAGAAGATGCAGAGTAACTCAGTAGGGTCAACGTGCAGGAGCAGGGGGCAGAGCTGGTCCTGGGAGTACGGCTGGAGACTTGTACTCAAGAGCAAAGCTGACTTGGGGATCAGATGAGTCATCTCACAGCACGACTTTATAGAGACTTTAGGAAAGACTCTTAACATGGGATAATATCGTCTTCTCCCCTTCTTGGATGGTTGAGACCCCACAGTGCAGACCAGGCTTTCGTCCTCAGTTCAGATTCAAGGGCTCCTCAGAGTGGTCCTCCCTGAACCAAGCCAAGCATCGACTTTCCTGTTAGTCCATCACATCTCATGTCATAAGAGAGCAGGAGGACCCAAGTGCCCAGTGGGCAAAGAGCAAGGAAATTGGATAGGGTAGAGAGGGACAGCAATAGAAAAGATAATGCTATCTTATGATATCAAGCAGTGCTGTCCCTGCCCATAGCCAATGAATTTGGGGAGTTCAGGACTTGGGCTTGGCTATGATTAAAGGCTGAAAAGCATCCAAATGAGGCCTTAAAGACATTTCAGTCACTGGTAGTATCGTGCATTCAGGTTTGGTCCGGAAGTAGGAGGTATTTGAGTGGGGCGGGCACTTAGAGATGAGAAGGAGACAGAGATACAAAATGAGACATCTTTTAAAATGTCCACAAACCCTGACAAGCCCTGGATGTGCTCAGAGAGGTTGATCAGAACCCATGAGTCAACCCAGGGAATGGTGCCTGATGAATCTTTAAGCCTTCCTTTTTCACTGGATTATAATTTCTACAGAGCTTAGACTTCCTAGTCTTCAAATCACTGCCTGGAGGCTGAATTAACTCACCATGTTTTACTGTACACAATTCCTCCAGCAAGTAATAAACCAAAGGAGTACGACAGCTGTCCTGAGGATGGCAGGTGCCCTCACAAGCCCACTTCTGATGACTGCCACCAGGAGGGACCTCAAGGGGCTGGAATGAGGCCAGCTTTCTTCCCTCAGACACCCATGCTTAGCAATCAGTTTTCAGGGCAGCGTATAGCTCTCCTCAGGGGCCTTCCACAGGTTCTTGGGTGCTTAGAGTCCACAGCAGGTGGCTCCCGGACCCAGAGGCTTCACTTTGGTTCCAGCTCTGCTGGAGAAAGTCAGGTGCAATTGCCAACATATCTTAGTCACTGGAGGCAGTCCTGGGACTCCTAGAGTTCTCTCCCTTTTCATTCTGGCCCCATTTCACAGGCATGAATAAACATAGGAGAGAGTAGGGCTGTTTGGGTGGCTCAGTCCATTCAGCGTCTGAGTCTTGGTCTCGGGGTCGTGAGTTCAAGCCCCACGGTGGGCTCCACGCTGGGTGTAGAGCCTACTTAAAAAAAACAGGGGAGGGTGTGGGAGCCCCAGAACTGTGGGAGGCAGGCCTTCCTCCACACTTGGACTTCTGCACGGCTAGTCTGTGCCCAGTTAACTTTAAAGAGGGGAGTGTTTCATTTTCGATCAAAATGGGAGTATGGAAAAGACAGAAGGGGGCAACGGGGTGGGGGTTTGCAACTGTCCATCGATAGACTTGATTTCTCAGTTTTGGACACCCTACAAAAGGCGATTTTACCTATATCTTCCAGAAATATTTAGAAGACATGAAAACACACTTTGGTGCAGAACCGCAGTCTGTTAACTTTGTGGAAGCTTCTGGACAAATCCGAAAGGAGATCAACTCTTGGGTTGAAAGTCAGACAGAGGGTAAGCTTTCACCAAGGTTCTCGGCAGAGTGTCTTCTCCAAGCATTGCTGTATTTTTTTGAATTTGCGTTGTACGTAAGTATGTGTATTTCTTAACTAGAACTATGGACACCTTCTAAATATTCAGAACATTTCTTTCTTTCTTTTTTTTTTCTTTTTTTTTTAAGATTTTATTTGTTTATTTGACAGAGAGAGAGATAGAGAGAGCAGGAACACAAGCAGGGGGAGTGGGAGAGGGAGAAGCAGGCCTCCCGCCGAACAGGGAGCCCGATGCGGGGCTCGATCCCAGGACCCTGGGATCATGACCTGAGCCGAGGGCAGACGCTTAACGACTGAGCCACCCAGGCGCCCCTCTTTCTTTTTTTTTAAAAGATTTTATTTATTTATTTATTTGAGAGAGAGAGAGAGGGAGAGAGAGAGAGAAACAGCACGAGAGGGGAGAAGGCCAGAGGGAGAAAAATGCTCCCCGCTGAGCTGGGAGCCTGATGCGGGACTCGATCCCAGGATTCTGGGATCATGACCTGAGCCAAAGGCAGTCGCTTAACCAACTGAGCCACCCAGTCGCCCCCAGAACATTTCTTTTTATTCATGCTGATGATTTTCAGATTCACAGCTTTCCCAGTAAGTCTTATCTAAAACATATAAGTCAACCCACTTTACTAAGTGGACAAGAAAATTCTTACATCCCAATAATTCCAAAGAGGAGCCCAGGGGCAAAAAAGCAGGAAAGTGCAAAAGGGAAAGTTGAAAAACTGCTACATTTGTGATTTCTAAAGAAAAACAGCTAGTAATTAATAACAAAATTGTGGCATTAAATGTGTTATATAATCTTAAGTAATTTTCAAAATCAGGTCAGGTATGAGAGTAGGGGGCTAAGCTGCCGTAGCAGAGAGACCTGGAATACAGTGGCTTAATGATAAGGTAGAAGTTTATTTTTTTCACATAATAGTCAAAAGGCAGATAAGCATTCTGTTTGCTGAGGCAATCCAGAGACCCAGACTGGTGGGCCAGCTCTGCCACCCTCAAAACATGGCTTTCGTATTTAAGTCTAAGATGATTCTTGCATGTGTCATTTTAAAGTCACCAGAAAATGGGGAAAAGAAAGCCTCTTTGCATTTAAAGAGATGACCTGAAAGTTTCACACATCAATTGCACCCATATCCCAAACTCAGCTACATGGTGCACTTTAGGCTCCAGGGACACACCTGTTGTGATTTACTTGGGACTTGCCTGGATTTTCCACCTGAAGGCCCCTCGGTCCCAGGCAAACCAGGAGAGTTGGTCACCTAGACTTGCTGTAATAACGATCTATAAGATGCAGTTTGTAGTTAGGTAGCCACACACTCACCTAAAAGTTGAGTGTTCTATTTTTTTTTTAATTTTTAAATTGAAATTTTTTAATTTTTAATTTAAATTCCGATTAACATATAGCGTAATATTAGTTTCAGGTTAAAATTTAGTGATTCAACACTAAAATGTACTGATTCAACCCGGTGCTCATCGCAAATCCCCTCAATCCTCATCACTTGTTTAGCCCATCCCCCTGCCCACCTCCCCTCTGGTGACTCTCAGTGTGTTCTCTGTAGTAAAGAGTCTGTTTCTTGGTTTGCCTCTCTCTTTTTTCCCCTATGATCATTTGTTTTGTTCTTAAATTCCACATGAGTGAAATCATATGCTATTTGTCTTTCTCTGACTGACTTATTTCACTCAACATAATACCCTCTAGTTCCATCCACACCATTGCAAATGGCAAGATTTCATTCGTTTTTATGACTGAGTATATTCTATTGTATATATATATATATATATATATATATATATATATATACCACATCTTTTTTATCCCTTTATTAGTCGATGGACACTTAGGCTGTTTCCATAACTTTGCTATTGTTGATGATGCTGCTATAAACATTGGGGTACATGTATCCCTTTGAATTCGTATTTTTGTACCTTTGGGTAAATATCTAGTAGTACAATTGCTGGGTGGTAGGGTACATCTATTTTTAACTTTTCGAGGAACGTCCATACTGTTTTCCAGAGTGGCTTCACCAGTTTGCATTCCCACCAACAGTGCAAGAGCGTTCCCCTTTCTCCACATCCTCGCCAGCACCTGTTGCTTCTTGTGTTGTTGATTTTAGCCACTCTGACTGTTGTGAGGTCATATCTCATTGTAGTTTTGATTTGCATTTCCCTGTTGATCAGTGATGTTGAGCATCTTCTCATGTGTCTGTTGGCCATGTGGTTGTCTTCTTTGGAAAAATGTCTATTCATGGCTTCTGCCCATTTCTTAAGTGGATTATTCATTTGGGGATGTTGAGTTTTGTAAGTTTTTTATTTATTTTGGATACTAACCCTTTATCAGATATGTCATTTGCAAATATCTTCTCCCATTCCATAGGCTGCCTTTTAGTTCTGTTGATTGTTTCCTTTGCAGTACAGAAGCTTTTTATCTTGATGAAGTCCCAGTAGTTTGTTTCTGCCTCTCTCTTTGCTCACACAGCACTCAGTGTGAAAGTTCACTTTGACATGCACTGCACTGTTATTGAAGTTAACTGCTGAAGCCTCCCCTACTAGACTCAAGGGCCCAAGGGCAATGATGCTGCCTGATGTGAGTTTCAGCTTTGAATCACTAACACACAGCAGGCCTGCTAATTGTCGTTGTTCAGAACGTTAACGTTTACTGAAGTGCCCCGAGGAAGTTGGCAGCCCTGAATTCTCAGTTCCTTTTTCACTGAACTAGTGACTCAGAAGCCATGGTGAGGCAAGAGTGACCATTTTACTTAACTTACACCTGATCTGGATTCATTCAAAAGCAAGCCTGTTTTTAGAATCATAGATTAGCTAGCATTTACTGAGCACTTGTACGGTTTCAGTTGGCAGGAGGACCAAATGGGATTGCAAAGGCAAAAGTGTGTTGTAATATGCAACACAAATTCAACATGGCAGACGTGGATGTAAGAATAGTCTGGGGCTGAACTAAATCTGAGGTCTCAAATTCCTAACCCAGTGTTGTGTTTTCTAGAAGAGAAGGGGGAGCCCTGCAGATAGGGAGGAAAGAGCAGACTTCAGATTATAGTTACTCTAGGGTCAAGATAAAGGATGGACACACTAGGAAAAATCCTCCATTGTCACACTACTTGTGAAATGAGAGTTCCTCCAAAATACACTAACCCAGGGCACGGTCAGAATCTTTTATTAAGCCCCTATTTCCTGCATCCCATGACTTCATTGCTCCAGCTGACAAGGCTGGCTCTATTTCTTAGAAGTGGAATCTTCTAAAGAGGAAGAAAGCTGTCATTTCTGTATTTTCTCTTTATGTACTGAACACAAATATTGGCTATTTGAGGGCTATTCAACACCAAATAAGGTAAGGAATGAATCAGCTATTTAGGAACTTTGACTTTGTCAAGGCAGAGTTCTGCACATGCTTAAGGGAAGTTGCTAGAAACTCTTCAGCATGACTACGTTCCATCGGAACCACCTAAAAGAAGCTTCTTTCCTTAAGGTTTCAAATAGACCTTCTTTCAAGTAGCCATGTGGACTACTTGGACATACAGCACTCAGAGTCATAGTCTCAATGATAGTGTCAGTTACATGTTCCAAATTTTTTTCTGGTTTGTCTTCTTTATAGTCTGTAAGCTACTTAAAAGTGGGTGTTGGGGAAGGTTATTGTCTACATGTTTGTAATCTCAAAATCTATCATGTGCTTGGCACGCTGGGCACTCTAGTGTCACATTAATAACTCTGTGCTCAGCAGGACTTACTCTGAATATCTTGGAAGACTGTCCTTCCCATGACCTCAAACTACCAAGGGTGTGTGCAATGAACTAGGCAGTAGGTGGCACTTTAGCTCTAAAGAGTATAGCAAAATCATGGTCAAATTTGGCTCTGTTAATTTGAAGTTGTATTTGACTACATTTTGTACATCCTTTATAAAATAATTATATTTTACATATCTTAACACAGCTGTGGGGGGCGCCTGGGTGGCTCAGTCGGTTAAGCGACTGCCTTCAGCTCAGGTCATGATCCCAGAGTCCTAGGATTGAGCCCCGCATCCGCATCCGGCTCCCTGCTCAGCGGGGAGCCTACTTCTCCCTCTCCCACTCCCCCTGCTTGTGTTCCCTCTCTCGCTGTCTCTCTCTCTCTGTCAGTTAAATAAAAAAACAAACAAACAAACAAACAAAAAAACCCCCACACAGCTGTGGGTTCAAGAGGCTCGTTTCTCTGAAAGCATATGAACCCAGAGAATAATGCGACACAACTTAAATCATCTGGATCTCAACCAACTTGAGATAAGTCTGTGCAAAACTCAATCCTCGATATGTTCTCTATTTGCATATACAACTCTATCAAATGATGGAATACTTGATTAAAAATGACACAGAGCTTTTAAAGAATAAAACGTCTGTGCAAAAATAAAGATTAAAAAAATGATGTAGACGGTCTCCCCATGGTGAATCATCAAAGAAATTGTAAATTAAGTTTAACATACTGTCTTTAATAAGATACAAAAACGAATACTAAAATGATTTAGAAAGTTCTGACGTCAGCATTTAAAATCAAATCCAAATTTAACTGTTAAAACTAAAATGTCTGTTTTGTAGGTGAGGGAGGGTTGTTTTGAATAGACACATCCAAGTCATACCTCAGATCCACTGGAATCTCTAGAAGTGCTGCCCCCAGAACTTTTTATTTATTTTTATTTTTTATTTTTATTTTTTAAAGATTTTATTTATTTATTTGACAGAGAGAGACACAGCGAGGGAGAGGGAACACAAGCAGGGGGAGAGGGAGAAGCAGGCTTCCCACAGAGCAGGTTAATCTTGAGGAGAAATTTTCTTTAATTTCTAGATTATGGTATTGTTCTTGTCAATACAAATGTCAGGATCAAATCAGAATGATCAAACTTGGGATGTCCAAACAAATGATAGCCTTGGAATATTCTTCCCCGAGAAGACAGATGGTAAAACCAGGAGCTTCTTTCTTACCCCTGTGTTCCCACCTCACTAACTTTCTGCCTTTTTAAGGATTCTTTTGGGGGTATTTTTCTTTCACACTGGAACTTCTGCCATAGAAATTTACCATATCTTCAGTGTTCTTATCTATCAAAATTATTTCAATACTGTGTTCTCATCAACACTATGAAGGAGATATTATTTTAATTTTACAGTTTGGAAACTAAGACCTAAAAGGTTAATTGCATTGTTCAGGGCCACACAATAAATATTAACTTAGGGATTTAATTCTTCAGACATGATTCTGACTTACCTGGAATGTTGCCTGTAGTATAGATCTTTGCAGTTTTCAAGCAACAATGTCATCTTTTGGTTCCTTTGTAATTTTTTCTCTTTCTTTCTTGTCCAATTTCTTTGAACTCTCAGGTTTTACCCATGTTCATGCTTTTTATTTATTGCTTCTTCTGCTTCTCTCATTAAACAAATTCTTTCTACTACTGCTTGCACTCTTCTCTGGTAGTTTGGCTTCCACAATTTCTGTGCAGAATTTTAGCTAAGTAAGCCTCAGAGTTTGAGTTTGGTCAAATTCACTGCTTCTGTTTTCATCCTTTCTGAAATCCTCATTGCTCATCTACTAAGATTCCTCAAAATCCAGTCTTTTCGCTTTCATACCATGAGGTTAGCTTCCACTCCTGGCATGGCATGTAGGTGGCTTCCTCTGTGAAAAGGACACCTTTTAGGATTCGCCCCCCAGAACGTTTTAAAAAGCTGCACAGGTGCTTCTGATGTACCTCGGGTGAGGACTACTGCAGACGGGCTGTGCCCTCGTGCAGTCAGGCTCATGGAGCCAGTTGGCTGTGCGTGTGCATGTCTTCCCAACCCCCTTTCAGAGACTTCCATGTTGGTCGCTTGAAATCAATATGGTGAGAATATTTACACCTCAGAAATAGGCTACGAATCAGGAGTCTTCTTCTCCCCCACCCCTCCCTGGAACCAGTTTACCAGCAAACCCCTAGAAATGGAAAGCCTGGGCTCTGGATTTCATTCAGTTGTTGTTTTACTATAGTTCACTTACCTACTATTGTTTTCCAAACCTACTTTTTGCTTGTAACAATAAAGGGAAATCGAGAAGTTAAATAAACCTAATTGTAGTTGTTCTTAATTATTTTTAAAAAGTTCTATTATGTGTGTTTTTCACCCCACTGTGTCCTGACCCCACTGTGGCATGGGCGTCCTTGCTCAGTGCAATAACCTGCAAGTGGACATATTTGTCACCCACTGCTGGCACACAGACCAAATGACTCCAAACCAGTGGCTCTCAGTCCTCGCTACACATGAAGCTAAGTTTACTAATTCCCAAATCCAACCCCAGATGAATTAATTCATATCTCTCAGAGTGAGGCTCAGGCATCAGTATTTCTAAATCCTCAGGTGATTCTAATTGAGAGTCAAGGCTAAGAATAATTGCTGTAAATGGAGTAATTCCCTCAATCCCATTGACACTCCCCATTTCTGAACGAGCTCCATTGCTCAGGGTCTTTGAGCTTCCAACTCCCTGGATAACACTTGGACTTGCTCAACAGTCCTCTGGTGTGTGTGTGTGTACACGCTGTGGTTTCACCTATCAGTCTAATCCAACTGTATTTTCTAGCATCTTTTCTTGGTTTATATTCCTGTTTCAGAGTTATTCTTTTCAACAAATATTTGTTCTAGAAAAACAATTTGATGTTTCCTCAATTGTATCCCCCCAGAAAGGTGTGTCAGGCCCTCACTACCAGTCCCTGTGAATGTGCTCTTATTTGGAAATAGGGTCTCTGCAGATCTAATCAAGTTAAGATGAGGTCATCCTGGATTAGGGTAGCTCTAATCTAATAACTGATGTCCTTACAAGAGGAGGAAAATTTGAACATAGACACACAGAGAGGACAAGACTATGTGAAAACACGGACATAGGACAGACGTAAAGAAGATTATGTGCCATCAGAGGCAGAGATTGAAATGTCCATAAGCCAAGGAATGTCAAGGATTGCCAACAACACCAGAAACAAGGAGGGAGGCATGGAACAGTACCTTCCCTAGAGCATTTAGAGGAAGCGTGCCCTGCTCCCACCTTGATTTTCAGACTTGAAGCCTCTGGAACTGTGGGAGAATACATTTCTATTGTTTGAAACCATCCACTTTGTGGTAATTTGTCATGGCAGCCCTAGGCCACCAATACAACCACAGAAGCAATGTGATGTGCCTCTCAATGAATCATACCAGGAAATAAATTATGTTCCTATTTCCCACTATGGCTGATGTTAACTTTGATGATTTGATTCCCACAGGCTTCTCACTGTAAAATTATGACTTTTCCCTTTGAAATTCATAAATATCATGTGGGGAGCTACTTGGTGACCACATAAAGTTCCTGTTTCTCATCAAACTTTTGCCCACCAATTTTAGCATTCATTGATGATCTTGCCTGAAACAATATTGACTGTAGTGTTTGCCAAATGGTGATTTTCAATTTCCACTATTCCTTCTACATTTATGAACTGGAATTCTACTATGAGGAAGAACTTTTCCATCTCTTCCTTTTATTTAGGTATTCAATAATTTATATCAGTATAGACTCATGGATATTTATTTACCCTATGGGTTATAATTTATTACTATCATTATCTATTTTGCTGCTCAAATTGTCCCAAATCTGGTTATTGGAAACCTCCTCAAGTTGGCCCCTATGTCCTTCTGACATGTTCTCAAATATTTTGAGCACTTCTCTACTTTCTGGTACCAAAATGTATCCTAAGGTTTATCTGGTGCTTTCCATGTCCCAGCCCTAGAATTGGCATTTCTTCTTCTAGGAGCCCTGGTTATATTTTTTTCTTTTTTTTCTTTTTTTTGAAGGATGGCTTTTAGAAATCAAGATGTGGATGTTAGCTATGCACATTATTACTGGGGTGTCATTGCTCAGTAGAGAAAGCTAGAAAATACATGTATTATATACACATCTGTAAATATCTCCAATATCTATCTAATTCTCTGTCTGCTTATAATTAAAGATGAGGAAGTCATATTGGTATCTCCTATTCCAATCCAGCACCATGGGGTTGATGCTCACCTCTGCTTTTCCTTATTTTCAATTCCTTTCTCTGTCAGTGAAACACCTGGCCCTTGTTATTTCCAATGTATTTACTTATTTGCTCAGTCCTAGAATATACATAAAATAGTTTCAGAATGGCTAACCCATTCTCCTACGAAAGGCAAATTTGTTAACTAGGGCACAAGATTTGTGTACAGTTTTCTTTTTAAAGCCTTAGAGTATATAATCAAAATATTGTTTTTCTAGAAATATATGTTGAAAAGAATAACTCTGAAACAGGAATATAAACCAAGAAAAGATGCTAGAAAATACAGATGGATTAGACTGATAGGTGAAACCACAGCGTGTACACACACACACACCAGAGGACTGTTGAGCAAGTCCAAGTGTTATCCAGGGAGTTGGAAGCTCAAAGACCCTGAGCAATGGAGCTCGTTCAGAAATGGGGAGTGTCAATGGGATTGAGGGAATTACTCCATTTACAGCAATTATTCTTAGCCTTGACTCTCAATTAGAATCACCTGAGGATTTAGAAATACTGATGCCTGAGCCTCACTCTGAGAGATATGAATTAATTCATCTGGGGTTGGATTTGGGAATTAGTAAACTTAGCTTCATGTGTAGCGAGGACTGAGAGCCACTGGTTTGGAGTCATTTGGTCTAATGGTCTTTTACACCCCCCTGTGTGCCAGCAGTGGGTGACAAATATGTCCACTTGCAGGTTATTGCACTGAGCAAGGACGCCCATGCCACAGTGGGGTCAGGACACAAGTGGGGTAAAAAACACACATAATAGAACTTTTTAAAAATAATTAAGAACAACTACAATTAGGTCTATTTAACAAATAGACAAATCTGAACTGAGAATTGAGGGACATGTTACCAACCTTTTTCGAAAGTGTCAAAGTCATGAAAGCCAAAGAAGGAATGAGGAACTATCCCAGATTCAAAGGCACTAAGATGAATTGACACTTGAACACAGCTTGAGATTTTGAGATCTTGGATTGATTTCCGGTCCAGAAGAAGGACTTTATTGGAATAGTAGATGAAATTTAAATAGAACCTGTTAGTAATATTCTATTAATGCTATCATTGGTGGATATAAGATATTATCACTTAGCAGTCTTTCATAATTATCATTTTTATAAGTGTGGCATATTGCCAGGTTGTAACTCTACCATTTGTAATCTGTCCTTTTGTTCTTGTAGGAAAAATCCAAAATCTCCTACCTGATGATGCTGTGGATTCTGCAACGAGAATGGTTCTGGTCAACGCCCTTTACTTTAAAGGAATCTGGGAACATCAGTTTTTAGTCCAAAACACCACAGAAAAGCCTTTCAGAATAAACAAGGTAGAAACCTTTTAATAATCAGCATGGGTTTTTACATGGCATTGTAAAGGAGGTTCTATTTGAAATTCATTTTTCTTTCTGAATATATGTTCCTGGAAAGTCTGGCTATTACCAGGGCAGGGATGGCTGAGCTAAAAGCCAGGTCCATCCCACCTGGGAATTCCTCTTTCATTGTTTCTTCTCTGAAAATAGACTATTCACATATTTTATCACTTAGTCCCCGCTACGACTATGGTAGAATAGATAAGGTAGTTATTATATTTATTTCCCAGCTGTCAAAGAGACTGGAACCATGACTAAGTTAGAAATCTACCAGAACTGTAACCCCCAACTCTTCGCTATTAGTTCTGTTCTTGTTCTACTAGATCAGTACTCTCTTCTACCAAATTCTTATCCTTTCATAAGTAAAAGAAATACACATTTAAAATCTCATCTCTTCCATTGTTTTCTCTTTGTGTTAGGACACAACACACTTGTTTTTGTGATAGGAACCCACTACAGCAAGAAGGGAGACTAATACAAGGTGACAGATCCCCTAGAATCTAAGGGCTGGAATGTGGCTGGGTCTTGGAACTTGAGTGGAAACAAGGATTCAAATGTAGTTAAGATTCAGTCTTCATCTTTTCAACTCTGTTTCTCCCACCATTCTTCCCTCAGGCTGAAGTCTAAATTCCTCTTCTTCCCAGTTCACACTGCAGGAACATGGCTACTCACAACACTGCCTCTGTTTTGGAGACCAGTGTAATAGATCTCATTTTAAATTCCTAGGAAAGGAATTGATTAGCCAACATTTGTTAAAGCTGTTTAGTCCTGGGGTGGGTCTTCTCACATAGATAGTGCTGCCAAGGACCTACCACAGTAATCATGTGGATGTGTGTAATAGGCGGTTCTCAATTCGTGGGATAAAGATGAGGAAAGGACCAAACATATAATCGAACAGGCTAACCAGAAATGAGCTGGATAGTTACCTGGCTTAGTATATCCACAAGGAATTTTCAGTTGCAAGTGATAAAATGGCATTCCAAAATAGGCCAGTAAAACGGGAATTATATTAGCATTCGTTACGACCAGGGAATAGGGTTGCCCCCTCGTCAGCCTTCGAGGTTCACAGCCCTGGTAGATAGTCTTTGCTGCTAGCTCTCACAGAATGCTCCCAAAGGAGGACTCTGTGTTGTGTCATTCCTGTGCTCCTCCCTGAAAAATCACTGCATCATGAAGTATTGTGAATGAACAGCCCTAGTCATATGACCACTACATTAGCAGATGGGTGGGACTTTGTGATTAACAGCTCCCTATAGAATGGATAAGTAACATATGTCTACAACATCTGAATTGCGGGGTTTTGTTTTTGTATTACCATTGGCTCTACTATAAATAAACTTTTTAAAGAGCATTTTTAGGTTTGCAGCAAAAATGAGAGGAAAGTAGAGTTCCCATATACCACCCCCCACATAGTTTCCCTTATTATTAACATTTTGCATTAATGGGGTGCCTTTGTTACACTTACTGAGCCAATATTGATACATTTTTATTAGTTGAAGTCTATAGTTCACTAGGGTTCACTTTTGGTCTTGTAGAGTTCTACGGGCTTTGACTAATGCATAGTCATGTATCTGCCATTCAGGTATCATATGGAATAGTTTAAGTGCCCTAAAAAATGTGCTCCACCCATTCATCCCTCCTCCTAAATACCTGGCAACCACTGATCTTTTTACTGTCTCTGTAGTTTTGCTTTTTCTGGAGCATCATGTAGTTGGAATTGTATAGTATATAGACTTTTCAGATGGGCTTCTTCCACTAAGCAATAGGCAATAGATATAAGCTTTCTCCCTGTCTTTCCCTGGCTTGATAGGTCATTTTACTTCACTGTTGAATAATAGTCCATTATCTGGACATATTGCAGTTTGTTTAGCCATTCACCTATTGAAGGACATCTTGGCTGCTTCCAATTTTTGGCAATTATGAATAAAGGTGCTAGCAATATCTATGTGCAAGATTTTGTGTGGACATACGTTTTTAACTCATTCTGGTAAATACTCAGGAGCACACTTGCTGGATCATATGGTAATACTACCTTTAGCTTTGTAAGAACCTGCCAAACTGTCTCCGGAAGTGGCTTCCACTTTGCATTCCCACTGTCAGGGAACAACAGTTCCTGTTGCCCCACACCCTTGCCAGCAGTTGATATTGTCAGTGTTTTGGACTTTCAGCCATGCCAAAAGTTCTGTAGTGCTATCTCATTGTTCTAATTTGCAATTCCCTAATGACGTATGATTGAGCATCTCTTCATATCCTGCATGTCTTCCTTTGGTGAGGTATCATATCTTTTACCCATTTTTAAAATTGGGTTCTTTTATTATCATTGAGTTTTTAAAAGTTCGTTATATATTTTGACACCAGTCCTTTATCAGATATATTTTGGAAGTATTTCCTCCTAGCCTATTGTCTTTTTATTCTCTTAGTAAATGTCAGTGCTTATGATACTAAAATACTTTCTCAAATGTTTGCATGTGAAATACACCTTATTCAGTTTCTGAATCATTCATTGACACTGGCATAGTTTGCGTAAGATTAGTTTTTAAAGTGTTCAGTGGGATCCAGCTTGCTATGATTTATAGAGCTTGCCACGATAGCATTATGAGAAGAAACTTCCACACCACTTATTGATAATGTTATCCAGTACAACACCTATTTCAGAAAGCAAGGTCTGCATAACTTTATTCACCATTTTGCAGAGAATCACCAATTTTGCCACTGTCCCAGACTACTGGGAACCGATTACGGTAAAACAAAATTAAGGATTTGGTGGAACATTTCCTCAGTGATTTTGCTACTTCCTTCCCATAGAGTACAAGCAAACCAGTGCTAATGATGTCCATGAACGAAAAACTCCAAGTTTTTCACATTGAAAAGCCACAAGCCATGGGCCTTCAACTCTACTATGAGAGCCGTGACCTCAGCCTGCTCATACTGCTGCCAGAAGATATCGATGGGCTGGATCAGGTACTGTCTGTCTGCTGAGAAGGTGGTTCTGGTGTTTACTCCTCTGGGGAGAAACATAAGACATGGTCTCCCTGTTTGTTCTTTGATTCCTGTAGAGAAAGACAACCAACATACCTTGAGCCCTCGGGACTTTACCTTCACAGTATCATTTAAATTTTATAAAACTCTGTAAGTTGGGTATCACTATTCCTCAGAAAGTTTAAGTAATCTAGAAGCTCTAGCATGGGGTAGCTAAACAAACAGCCACAGGAGCAATGGATACGTATATTCTTTGCCAGTCACAGAGCTGACCTCAGTCTAGGCCTTTCTTCTCCATCTCGTAGGGCTTACCTAATTGGAGGTTAATTTTTTAATCATTTGCATTAATCTAGCTTGAGATATACATTTTTAAACAAGACTCTGACTTCCAAAAGGTGAGAAAAAAGCCATTTTAATTAAATGAAGCCTTCAGGAGAAAAAGGCTGTATCAGTACTACCTTCAATTATTTGCTTATCAGCTAAATTTCTATGAATCCTGATATAACTTTGGTCACACCATGTTTTTGAGCAATTTGTATATTTAAATTGAACATTAGTTTCTCATGCAATGGGTAGCCTGGCTTTCTTTGCACTGTGCATAACTTTTCATGTGTTCCAGATTCTTCATACTTCTAAGTTTCCACAGCCCTGTTAGAATGTAGAAGAGATTTCCAAATGGTATCATAAAATTTGTGAAACTGGAAAGAATGGTAAAAGACAAATGGTGGACACTAAACTATTAGCGTCACACTCTTATAAGATACGCCTTTCTTCCTAAAAGTGCAGGGTCCTGAGCTGAATATGTTGTCAGATTACTAATGTACACCATCTACAAGTATGTCATTGACAGCAATACTTGGGTCTAGAAAACTCTCAAAGTAGCAAAAGCATGCGTCTTGAAACAAACATGTTATTAAAAAAACAAGCACATTTTTTCTCATATATACTTATGCATATGGCTGTATACATCCACATATATTTATTATTTAAAAAATTTAAAATATAAAGAGGAGAAAAATATTCTCAAAAACTATACTAAAAAATAGGCATTACTCTTAAGATTTGGAGATTTTCCTTTCTTTACTTTTCCTTCGCTTTTTTTTTTGGCATAGCTTATAGTTACTAATTTCATATTGTGATTATATAGACATTTTATTTTATCTCAGATTTTGTTTTCAAAGAGCTGTGTCCCATGTTAATATAACAGATACTTTTTGGACCCTGGCACATAATTTATTCTAAAGTTTATGCTTTTGTGCAGACAGCACCTAAATGCATATTTATGTTGACTCATTTCCGTGTGTAGTTGATGTTTTGCACGTGGGCATAGAAGTAAGCCATTTTGAATCAAGGTTTAATTCTCCTGTATCCTGGCAACTGTTCAGTTGCAAAACAAAGATTCTGTAGGTCAACAGTGTGAGGAATCTCATTACACAAAGAATTTCCAAATGTGTGTGCTTTGTTACCCTGGGTAATGGGAGTGATGGTAATTCATGTATGTAATATCTTGAGGTCTCACCCAACCACTATTTCTCACTCCACTCTGGAATTACTGACTCTTTCCTCCTCGTTCCACACCTGCAGCTGGAAAAGGCCATCACCTATGAGAAGCTGAGTGAGTGGACCAGCGCAGACATGATGGAATTATATCAGGTGCAGGTGCAGCTCCCCAAGTTCAGGCTGGAAGAGACTTACGATCTCAAGTCAACCCTGAGCAATATGGGGATGAGCGATGCCTTTAACCAGAGCAGAGCTGATTTCTCAGGAATGTCTATGGAGAGAAACTTATTTCTGTCCAATGTTTTCCACAAGTCTTTTGTAGAAATAAATGAACAAGGTACAGAGGCTGCAGCTGGTACTGGGAGTGAGGTGAGCCTTCGAACTCGACTCCCCTCCATTGAATTTGATGCAAACCACCCGTTCCTCTTCTTCATCAGGCACAACAAAACTGGTAACATTCTCTTTTACGGGAGATTCTGCTCCCCCTAGACCATGTATCTCTCTCATCAAACGAGACCATCTTCTGCTGTGAAAAGTGCACCAAAAGATGGAAAAACACAATTATAATAAAAACCAGTTTGCATCTTGTATCTTTTTCACATTTAAATGTTAGCAAATAAACCTTGAAATAATGCATTCTAGTGACTTTATCATATCTACCTAGCTAGAGAGAATGGCAAATTTTATTTTTATCACTTAACATTTTGTCTTAATGTGACTTATTTACATTTCAGAAGTACTATGTTATTCAATTGAATGCCTTACAATTGTCTGAACTACTTGGTCACTGTATTATCATTGTCACTTCTATTTTACCTGCCTCATTGAGTGAAGAAAAATCTTTACAAAGGTGATATATGGATTCTTAGTTTGAACAAATGTATAAAGATAATGTTAGATGTTAGCACTGGGGAAAAGGTGTTAGGAGTATACAGAATTCCCTGGATTATCTTTGCAACTTTTCTGTGAATCTAAAACTTTTCAAAAATAAACATTTTATTAAAAATAATTATTGTGTAAAAGTGTAGTCATACTAACACCCCTGCTTTTAAAAATCTTATCAAAGAGAAGAACAAATTTCTTTTTTACAAAGATTTTATTTATTTATTTGAGAGAGAGCATGAGCGAGTGAGCATGAGCGAGGGGAGGGGAAAAGGGAGAGGGAGAAGCATACTCCCCACTGAGCAGGGAGCTCCAAGACTATGGACACTGGGCTCCATCACAAGACCCTGAGATTATGACCTGAGCCAAAGCAGATGCTTAATTGCCGGAGTGACCCAAGTGCCCCTGTTACTCTAATTTCAGAGATTGATTATATACTGTAGGTTATTTTTTGATACTCATCTAATAAAAGGAAAGACTAGATCCGACATGAACAGTGTATAAATGAGTATAAGAAAATGTGTTTTCTGTATTAAATCTTGGCTCAGTATTGTAGGATAAAAAAAATGCCTTAGCTCCAAAGATAGGAAATTGTAATATATGTAACATTTTATCATATCTCTATGAAACATTTTGCCTCCATTCATAATATCTCACACTAGCTTGCAGTGAAACAAATCCTTTGTGTCTGTGTTCTAGGAAATTATAAGTCCTTAAATATTATAAAAGAAGACAACTGTAATTCTCTCAGAGACTGACAAACAGAGAGCATTAAACACAATACTTTTCAAACAAACAAGAAAGGAAAAAAGGATGATACTAGAAACTTCAGATGAGTAAGAATGAGATTAGTAGGAAAAGTCTTACAATCACTCTTCTATTTTGTGTATTTTTTTTTAACAGGCTTGCGTCTTAGGAGAGTCTAACTCACTAGACTTGTAAGTCTTAATTTATTGGATTTATGGAAGTTCAAATGTTTGCAAAGGTGTGTTTGTGAACTTTGTAAGTGTGTCTTTAAAGGTGTTTAAAGCTTTTAAAAAATCTGACAGGTTGTGTAATCAATGCCTAAACATTTAAGGAAAAAAAAATAACTTATTTGCTGTTTAAGCAGCGTGCTTTAACGTTCTAGAAAAAAATTATTTTTACTCGATGGACAAATAATAAACTGCCTGTTAACAAGGTATAACAGTAGGTATAAGAGTAGTTGTTCCCTGCTTGTGAAATTACACTGTGGGAAGGAAAATCCCACAAACTTTAAAGAACCTTGCCCTTACCAGCAGGGGGGCAGGCTAGGAGAGTGAAAACGGGATTGATGGGTTTCTCCTGTGGGAGAACGCATGCGAAAGGATATTGACAAGGTGTGCCTGATCTGTAGAACATTTGGGGACACATTTGCCATCAGTACACAGGAAACTGAAGAAATGGAGAAGAAGGCAGTAGGAACATAAGGAAAAATGGTAGTGCAAGAAAAAATGAGTGCATTCATAGTACACTTGTTAACTCAGTAACGAATACTATTTAGTTGTAATCAAGTTAACACCTAGGGCAAGTGAGGTAGTGTGAGTGGCATGAGAAGACCGAATCCTCAGCCTCTAAATTAGGAAGGCAAGAGATGATGTCTAAAATTGTTAGGTCAAAAAGGGTAATATAGCCGTGTTATTTGGAAATCTGGAGGCAGATACGAGGAGAAAGAGTGACTGCTTCTGGGGAGGTGGGAGGAGTGGGTAGGAACCCGTTCTTTTCAAGTATCTCCTCAAGCATTATCTGATTTTTCAGCTAATTGTGTGCACATTAATTTCATAAAAGGAAAAATTTAAAAACCCTCAGAAAAAACATAAATAACATAAACATTACCTGTCTCTCAGAAACTCGTGATGGTCAGAATTTATTTCCTTCTAATCTATCTATAGATTATGCTCACACGTAACCTTATTCCTAATTTACACTTAATAGCCCGTGCTCCTGTGGCAATATTGTCTTGTTCTACTAATATTTACATTAGTTTCCTATCATGGGTGTGATAGAATCTGACCTGTTCTCTGTTGTTGGGCATTTGTGGATTTTCTCTGTGCACACGACATAAAAGATGAGGTGGTCATCATTCCACATAATATTTAATCCATGTTTGTGTTTGACTCTCAGTGAATTCCTTGAAATGTAAGTTTTGATTTCATGGCAATTTCTTTTCTTATTGCTTATTCCACCCATCTTTCTTCTCTCCTCCCCTCCCCTCTCCTCTCCCCTCCCCTCCCCTCTCCTCTCCCCTCCCCTCCCCTCTCCTCTCCCCTCCCCTCCCCTCTCCTCTCCCCTCCCCTCCCCTCTCCTCTCCCCTCCCCTCCCCTCTCCTCTCCCCTCCCCTCCCCTCTCCTCTCCCCTCCCCTCCCCTCTCCTCTCCCCTCCCCTCCCCTCTCCTCTCCCCTCCCCTCCCCTCTCCTCTCCCCTCCCCTCCCCTCTCCTCTCCCCTCCCCTCCCCTCTCCTCTCCCCTCCCCTCCCCTCTCCTCTCACCCCCCTCCTCCTTTTATGTTTTAAAAGGATAACTTTAATGTGCTCTCCACCACTTCTCTCTTTTGGGGAGGCCATGGTGTAGCATAGGGATTAAAACAGCAAACTCCAGGGTCACACAGACCTGGTTTCCAATCCTCTGTTGCTTATAGCAGTGCAACCTCGGGGACCAGAAACTTAAAGAACTAAGGTTCAATGTTTTTCCTAGATATTTGCAGCACCCACCTCACACAGTTGTCCAGGTTAAATGAAGTCTTGCAAGAGAAGCTCTGGTATGGGATCTAGCACATAGTATAGACTCAAAAAATATTTATTATTTTTCTTTGAGGTTAACACTTTTTCATATAATGATTAGCCATTGCTTTTCTTTTAATTTCCTTTCTTAAACTGTTAATTTTTAAATGTGAGTATAGTTGACACACTCTGTTACATTAGTTTCAGGTGACAATAGCCATTGCTTTTCTTTGTTGCAAATTTGCTAATGCCCTTTGCACATGTTTCTACTGCAGTCTGTTTTTTAAATCAACTTTTGAGCTATTTAAGTGACATTTAAAGATTTTTTTCAAATATTTTCTTGACATTCATCTTTTAATTTTATGGTACATTTTGACATATGGAAATCAAATATGTTTACTCAAATGTACTTAATTTTTGTGATTGTTTTCAGATGACTCATTGTGAATATGTTAGGATGCTCTGACTGGTAAAATGTTAATTTTGTGAATAGTTAGAAAAGATGTCAGAGCAGAGGACTACTGCTCCTCACAGAGCTCGCCTATTTCCCTCCCAGGATTCCTCTATTGCATTTACAGACTTTTGGACTAATTGGGTCTTTTAACTCACCTCTTGTTCTCATTCAGATTCCTCCGTACCTACTCTGCTTTTCCTAAAGTAAGGGCTTTTCTTTTTTTTTTAAATTTTATTTTATTATGTTATGTTAATCACCATACATTACATCATTAGTTTTTGATGTACTGTTCCATGACTCATTGTTTGCATATAACACCCAGTGCTCCACGCAGAATGTGCCCTCTTTAATACCCATCCCCGGGCTAACCCATCCTCCCAGCCCCCTCCCCTCTAGAACCTTCAGTTTGTTTCTCAGAGTCCACAGTCTCTCATGGTTCGTCTCCCCTCCGATTTCCCCCCCTTCATTTTTCCCTTCCTACTACCTTCTCTCTTTTTTTTAAACATATATTGTATTATTTGTTTCAGAGGTACAGGTCTGTGATTCAACAGTCTTACACAATTCACAGCACTCACCATAGCACATACCCTCACCGTCTATCACCCAGCCACCCCATCCCTCCCACCCCCCACCACTCCAGCAACCCTCAGTTTGTTTCCTGAGATTAAGAATTCCTCATATCAGTGAGGTCATATGATACATGTCTTTCTCTGATTGACTTATTTCACTCAGCATAACACCCTCCAGTTCCATCCACGTGGTTGCAAATGGCAAGATCTCATTCCTTTTGATGGCTGCATAATATTCCATTGTGTATATATACCACTTCTTCTTTATCCATTCATCTGTTGATGGACATCTTGGCTCTTTCCATAGTTTGGCTATTGTGGACATTGCTGCTATAAACATTGGGGTGCCCATACCCCTTCGGATCATTACATTTGTATCTTTGGGGTAAACACCCAGTAGTGCAGTTGCTGGGTCATAGGGTAGCTCTATTTCAGCTTTTTGAGGAACCTCCATACCGTTTTCCAGAGTGGCTGCACCAGCTTGCATTCCCACCAACAGTGTAGGAGGGGAACCCTCCTTTCTCCGCATCCTCACCAACATATGTCATTTCCCGACCTGTTAATTTTAGCCATTCTGACTGGTGTGAGGTGATATCTCATTGAGGTTTTGATTTGGATTTCCCTGATGCTGAGTGATGTTGAGCACTTTTTCATGTGTCTGTTGGCCATTTGGATGTCTTCTTTGGAAAAATGGCTGTTCCTGTCTTCTGCCCATTTCTTGATTGGATTATTTGTTCTTTGGGTGTTGAGTTTGATAAGTTCATTTTTTTTTAAAGATTTTATTTATTTATTCATAAGAGACACAGAGAGACAGAAAGAGAGAGGCAGAGGGAGAAGCAGGCTCCCCGCTGAGCAGGGAGCCCGATTCAGGACTCGATCCCAGGACCCTGGGATCACGACCTGAGCCGAAGGCAGACACTTAACCATCTGAGCCACCCAGGCACCTGAGTTTGATAAGTTCTTTATAGATTTTGGATACTAGCCCTTTATCTGATATGTCATTTGCAAATATCTTCTCCCATTCTGTCAGTTGCCTTTTGGTTTTGTTGACTATTTCCTTTGCTGTGCAAAAGCTTTTTATCTTGATGAAGTCCCACGAGTTCATTTTTGCCCTTGCTTCCCTTGCCTTTGGCGATGTTTCTAGGAGGAAGTTGCTGTGGCTGAATGAAACTGGACCATTTCCTTACACCACACACAAAAATAAACTCAAAATGGATGAAAGACCGAAATGTGAGACAGGAATCCATCAAAATCCTAGAGGGGAACACAGGCAGCAACCTCTTCGACCTCAGCCATAGCAACTTCTTCCTAGAAAGTAAGGGCTTTTGAGCAGCAGTGACAACACAGGGCACCTGTGTGAGGTTAATTAATTATCAGTTAATTATTATTCTTATTATTTTCTTTTAAAAAAAGACTAGTGTTCCAAATGCGCCGACCTTTTCTGTGATGCTAAGTGGCTGATATTGGTAGCTCCCCTAGCAAGTATTTTTTTTTTAAACGCCCGGTTGACTGATTGCCTTCAGGTAAAGGTGCGTTTTTTATCTATGAATGTGAAATCAACTACTTTTGAAGGATTGTAAAGTGATCATTTGAGAACATCCATTGGCATGCTTTTCCATCCTCGTATGATTTCATTACTAGAAAAAGATGTTAAAACTTTCACATATGGGCACTTCAAAAACTTGCAAATATATTTTTCTTAAACTTCACAAAAATCTTCCAAAAAGAAAAGATTTGGTGGATTTCTAACTGTTCAAACTGAAAGTACACATTGAAAAATCTGGATTTGCAAAAGCCAATGATTTTCAAGAGGATAAACAGATTTTGAGTATTTAGATTTCAACCAGAAATCTTTGTACAGTTAGTATGTGAATGAAAATCAAGTGTCAGGGTTTAGTCAGTAGAACCAATGATGATGACTTTATTCTATTTTAATTAACCTATTTCCTGGGAAGCATTTCCTTGTGACAGCTATCGATCCAAGTTTAGAAATAAACCGCTTAAAAACAGGTCTTTAAATTACTGTATTTCAAAGCGTTAAATTAAGGTTAAAGCAAACATATTCCATCACGTTGATCTCATTAAGTTTTGAAATAATTGAGTGCAAAAAACGTGTATTTCTAATCAATTTTTTTCTCATTCTTGGAAATTTTTATGTTTTTATACTGTTTATCATATATTAGTATTTAGCATATTAGCACATCTAAATATGAATATTGATACCAGAGATCGTGCTAAACAATTGTCTGGATGGGTGTCCTACCAAAACAGCTCGGAAGCCACTGGCTTTAAGAACCTTGAACCTCTGCTCTTGCTTTTAGTTAATTTCCAAAGTGAAGTGCAATTTTGAAACCGCTCTTGCACACGCACACACCAAACACGAATACTGCGCGCCCTAACCCAGGAAAACAAACCAGTCGCCTGCGGCGAGGCATTCCGCCGACACCCTCAGAGGTCCGCGGCCCCAGCCTCCCCCACGAAGCCACGCGCACGCAGGCCGGGTCAGGAGGACTGCGGGGGAGGCTCGGGCTCCTCCCGCGGACACACACGGGTGCCGGGCGATCCCGGACGGCTCTGCGTCAGCCGCCGGAAGCCTCGCCCGGGATCGCAGCTGTGGGGAAGCAAGCAGCAAGCTGGAGGAACAGCCGCCGCCGCCGCCAGAGCAGGAATCTCCTGGGTACGGGGGCTGGGAAGCGCGCGGGTCGCCAGCTTCCCGGGGCGGGCGTCCCCTGCCGGCAGCGCGGCGGCGCGGGGGACACGGGCGGGGAGGGAGGCCGGCAGGAGGCGGACGCAGAGCGGCGACAAGGAGGAAGAGAGGACGGGGTGGGGGGAGGCTGTTGGCTGGGGGGGGTGATCGGACCGGACAGCGGCGGGGCAGCCGTGGGGGGCTCTGAGCTGGGGGTAGGCGGGGTCAGCCGAGGCAGCCAGCGCTGGAGCGCGGCGCGCAGACTCGCCCTGGGGCGGAGGGGGTGCCCCGAGTGGGAGGGACACGGCGGCCGGCCGACGCCACCGCGCCGCGATCTGCCAGCCGGAGCGAGAGGCCGGTCACCCAGGCCCGGGGTGCTGTTGCCGGAGACGGCGGGGCGGAGGGTGCGTGGGAGCAGCCGCGGGGTGCAGCAGGGAGACCGGGGCGCCCGGAGCAGCCTCGCCTGGAATTTCCAGGGCGCCTTGGGCAAGTTCCGGGGAGGTGCTGGGTCAGCGCCCCCTCCCGCGGGGAGGCCGGTAGGCTCCGAGGCCCCTCCCTCTGCCTCCTCCCTCCCTCCCAGGCTTCCCCTTCCTTCCTGTATCCTGTTTTTCTTCCATATTCTCTGCTTTTCTTTATTCTTTCTTTCACATCTTTCACCCGCTCCTCATTGGCTGCTTTTCCTCCGCTTGAGAAAATGCTTCCTTGCCTGTTTCCACCTCGTCCGCAGCCACAGTAATTCATTTGATGGACTTCCCACTTCCCAGATTCTCTTCAGCTCCTGCTCCAGCCCCTTGGCCGGGCTGTTTTGGGGGCCCCTGCTGCTTGCCGCCGCCCGTGCTGCCCGCCAGTCCTCCTCCTCCAGCCTCAGGCTGCCCTGGGCTTCCTCCCCTTGTCTTCTTCCTCTTCCTACCTGCAAATACCGGGAATTCTTAAAAACTAGGTGAGTTTCTCTTCTTACTCCTCTCTGTACCTTGTAATTTCATCCCGTTTGCCTAGGATCTCCCGCAGTCTGGGTGCTAAGGGCCCCCAATCTCTTGCTCTGGGACTTGTGCCCGACTCGGTAACCTGCCTGTATTTCCAAACATCGCTTGGCTGCCTTGTTACAGGGACCCAGGGACCATACCATAGTCTGCACATCTCAAATGGAATGTATCACCTTCCCCATTCCATCTGGCTCCTCATAGAAACTTCCAGTGGCTCACGCCCGCCCCAAGCATCAGTGAGCTAGGAGTCTGTTAAGAGGTAAACTGAAGCATATTAAAAAGTTCAGTTCATCGGAGCACAGATGAATTCGAATGGGGCAGCATCCAGTCTAGCAGGCAGAAAGGAACTCCGCGGAGCTGTACAGAAGCAAAGACTTCTAAGCAGAAGGGAGTGGTAACAAGGAAGCTATACTGGCCAAACAGAGGGTTGGTTGTTGCAAAGTTATTTCCCTTTGGTGGATGGCAGGGATCTGGCAGGCGGTTGACCTCACTAGGGTTGGTCAGGCGCTTCCTGATTGACTGGTTTAAGATTCCATTTCGGGGAGAGCCGAAACTGTCATTCAGTTAAGGTTCTGCATCTGGGGCTGAGCATAAGCAACTCCATCTGGGGCCTGGTGTCTTGTTTTTAACCAGCCTCCACGTCCTCCCTGACTACCCCTGCCCCCTGTCCCTCCTGTGATGGGTCACCCCGCCGCCGGGCAGTGCCGCCATGCACTCGGTTGCTGCTTCCCTGTCTGGCAGCTGCAGAGCTATGGCGGCCAGCCGGCTCCCTGGCCTTTTTCCAGGCTTCGTGGAGAGCCACTGCGTTCCCTAAGACCCTAGACTGTGCTCCTATAGAACATTTTGTTTAAAAACCATACCTGCCTTTCCGGACCATGGCTCAAGTTCAGACTTCTTGTCCAAGTGCACCCCGTGTCACCCAACCATAGAGACCCAGCCCCTCCGCCCCACGCAGACCTGTGCCACCTGCCACGGTCGGTGGTCGGTCTGTCTCCTGCCAATGCCACCACTGCCCCCGCGGCACTCACCTCCCCTTTCACCGCCTCACACACACTCCTGCCCAATGCATGAAAGCCAGCTCGCCCCTCACCTTCTCCTGAGCTTCTAAAGAGAATTTATTCCGTTTCTCTGGGGGCTTCCTTAGCACTTTGTAAATTATCCGGTTACAGAGGGTGGGGCTGGCTTGAAACCACACACTTGTGTTTGTGTGTCTCCCTCGGGTGGGAGTGCCCCGTCAGGAATTATGGCCTTTATTGTTCATTTTTTCTCTAACCTATATAAGGAAAGTTCTATAATAAATGCTCTTTGTATAAGTTCACTTCTGGAGGTGTCCGTGGGAAGGCGGAGTGGAGCGGGAAGATCACAGGCATTCGGGGGCCCCAGGAGGAGAGCAGTGTCTTATCCTTGGAAGCACAAGGCTTCTGCTTCAAGACTCCGCTGCTCTTACTATGAGACCCGAGGACAGGCTTTCATTGTCCTGACCTCATTCACCAGTAAAAGAAAAACTAGTGTAATGCCAGTTCATTTTATAGGCTGGAAATCAAACCTTTCCACATTGTTGTGTTTTTATGACACAGTGGAATGGTACACTGGTACCCAGACGTATTGTTTTGTATTATATTGAAATTCAGTCCTTTTTATTTTTATTTTATTTAAGATTTTATTTATTTATTTGAGATAGAGCTAGCCAGACAAAGCGAGAGAGAGCACGAGCAGGGGGGAGGTGGAGGGAGAAGGAGAAGCAGACTCCCCGCTGAGCAGGGAGCATGACGCACGTGGCCAGGACCCTGGGATCATGACCTGAGCGGAAGGCAGACGCTTAACCGACTGAGCCACCCAGGCGCCCCGAAATTCATTTCTTTTTAGATTTATTGGGCAAGTTCCACTTTGTTTCAAGTACAACCCTCTCAAAAGCTTAATGTACACGAGATTGGGGCACCAAGAAGAAGTGGGGGAAAGGGAGTCATGTGGTTATCCTGTTCCAGCTCCTGTGTCTTCACGAGTGTGACTTGGGACACACCCCCGAGGTGCCAGAGTGGCGAGTGTGTGCCAGGGTGTCCTTGCTAGGGGGCAGACGCTGGTGGGAAATGCCGTGCTACTGACCAGCACCTGCCCATATGGAAATGAACTGAAGAAAGAGGAAAGGTAGAAGAAAGCAGAAGTAGCCATTTGACATTAAGAGCAGTTAAAATGTAAAGTTGGAATTGATGTGATATTCCAGTACACACCTTTGCCTGTTCAGGCAGGACAACACACACACACACACACACACACCCACCATCCTCACACTGAACAGTCTACACTTAGGCTCTGGTAGGATCAAATCCAGATGCGTGTGTGTCCCTCACCTCCAGGTTAGTGAATTCTCTCTTCCTCTGGGTCTCTTTGGTGCCACCTTGTGGTAGGCCGAGTGCCGTGCAGTTTGCGTTTCCCCCTGGCTCCTAGTTGTTTCTTTTCTGAAAAGTCCTCCAATGCAAGGCGAGGAAATGTGGGGCCGGAGGTGGCCTGCAGGCAGGCTGGATGCTGCTCTCTCTCGTGGGACGTGTCCGCTGCAGACGCATCGGCTCTCCCACACCTGCAGCCCTTGGATTCAAGCCCTGCAGCGGAATGCTCTGGAGAGGCTTCTCCGGGTGAGGATAGTGAGAAACTTTCATTTTTGTCCTCTAAGAAATAACCTGTCAAGTATAGCATCCTGCTGTGCAAGCTTTGTCACCATTGTATTCTCTTGGTTAATGTTTGTTTGTTTATTTTTAAAAGATTTACCCATTTATTTATTTGAGAGAGAGAGCATGAGCAGGGGAAATATCAAGCCCCCCAGGCGCCCCTTGGTTGATGTTTTAAGTCATATCTTTTAAACCTGAATTTGCACTGGTTGGAGCTGTTGGAGAATCTGTATTTAGAGTGCAGCCTTTATACTTGTTTGTTTGACATCACACCTTTTTTTTTCTTCCTAAATCAGAGACATCTTATGTCTTCTCTTGAAAAAAATATCTCAGGAAGAAGCTTTCAACTGTTGGAGAGGCCCCCCCCCCCCCGCCAGCCTAATGAGATACACTTGCAAGAATGCTGTAGGAGGCGCGGCTAGTCTTCAGTGAAACTGAAAGAAGAAATATCATGTGATGATCCACTGCAATCAATGCAGCTGGTTGATAAAAATGAACATATGCATGATGACCCTTATTCTAGGTGAAGATTCCAGGTGAAGATTCCAGTACTTTTGGTATTGCTTATTTGCTGATTTTCCAAACTGGAATCTGTTTTTCTTGTGTAGCTTTAAAATTTTTGAGTTAAAAATATATATGCAAATAGAGAAAAAAAAAGGATAGCTTGCAGGGTCATGGGATTATGGGTGACTATTTGTCCTTTTATTTTCTAGAATGTTTTCAACTGGAGCAGCAAAGAGACTCAGGGAAACCAGTGTCTCAGTTTCCTGTTGCTGCTGTAACACCTTACTGCAAATTGAGGCCCAAACACAGTAAAAATGTATTATCTTATAGTTCTGGAGGTCAGAAGTCCAAAATAGGTGTGCAGAGTTGCATGTTTTTCAGGAGGCTTTAGGGCAGAATCCGTTTCCTTGCCTTTTGCAGCTCCCAGAGGCTCCCTGCCTTCCTTGGTCCATGGCCTTGCATCATTTTGACCTTTCCTTCTATTGTCACATCTCCTTCTCTGACCCTCCTGCCTTCCTCTTATAAGGACCCAGTGATTACACTGAGCCCACCTGGATACTGCAGGAAATCTCCCCATCTCAAGATCCTTAATTCAGTCAGTCACATCTTCAGGGTCCCTAATGCCTTGCAATATAACAGAGGTTTGGGAGATTCAACGTGGGTGTCTGGGGGGGAGCATTTATTCTTCTGAGCACCCCTGGTGTCCACTGACAGGGGTGCTAATGGCCAGATGACGTGACGGCGGGCGTGGCTAATGTGCCTCCACGTTGTGCTTTCCATACAGACCTTCCCTGATGGAGGATCTCCATGAAGCAAATGGCAGGTTTGCCATCAACTTATTAAAAATGTTGGGTGAAGAGGACAGCTCCCGAAATGTGTTCTTCTCCCCTCTGAGCATCTCTTCTGCCCTGGCCATGGTCTTCATGGGGGCCAAAGGAAACACCGCCACCCAGATGTCCCAGGTGTGCATGCTAGCATTCTGTCCCACAAGAAGTCCCCAGATTTCACCTTTGTCACATTTTAAGTTTTGGCTAACGTTACATATCAAATTGAAATGCAGCTGTTTGAATGAACTAGCTGTTAAATGGGTTCTTTCTAGTGTATGATTATGCAGTAGAAGAAAGCAGCACAAATGTGGACTTCGGTCCTTGGAATTATTGAGAGGGAATGTATAATCTGATTGATCTGAAACGGGTTCTGTGGGACCTGAGCTACAAATGAAATAGTGGCAAATACTTTAGGGAAGTTGTCTTTAACCTCTTTGTTATCTTAAGTTTCTTTGACAGTCTTGTGAGTGTCCCAGAACATTGCCAATGCACATGACCTCCCCATCGATAGCAGGGGCGCGTGGGTGCCCTCTGGAGGTGCCTCTGGGCATGGCAGCTGGCGGGGGGGCGGTGGTTTCTTCCAGCTCGCTGGAGGAGGGAGGCTTTGGACTGGGGCCATTGGGAGACAGAGGAACAACCTTAATTTCCACTCTGACTTGACATGGAAGTCCCAGTCTGGTCTGCAGAACTTACATGAAATTGCTGTTGAAGTATTTTCTGTTGATTTCTGCTCATTCTCGTATTCCCTGGGTTGTGTTAGATTCATTCCAGCTACCTCTTTGCTCTGTTCTGTCTCTCTCCTGAGTTTCATACCTGCCTTTCTAAGTGGGTTTACACCTGGGGGCGACATTTGCCACTGTCCCCACAGCTCGGTTGTCTGAGAGGTGCTACTGACATCTAGTGGGCAGAGGCCAGAAATGCTGCAAAATGTCTTAGAAGGCACAGACTGGCCCCAGCCGCAAAGTGGCCCCAAATGTCAGCAGTGTCCCGTGGAAAGGCGCTGTGGGAGGGTTAAACCAGAAGCCTTTCAAGATGGGATCCTTTGTGATTTTCAGCACAGGGGTCGTTGCAGATAGCTCTTTGTGGGAGCAAGATGGCAATGTTACAAGTCCGTGTCCTTGTCTGTTACCAGGCGCTTTGTTTGAACAGAGACGGAGATATTCACCAAGGTTTCCGGTCACTTCTCACGGAGGTTAACAAATCTGGCACTCAGTACTTGCTCAGAACTGCCAACAGACTCTTTGGAGAGAAGACATGTGATTTCCTTCCTGTAAGTTGTACTCACGCATGGATGTTAAAAAAATGGCAAGGTAGAAACTGTAGAAGAACAGAGATAAAGTATAATTCTTTTGACTTAAAAATGTGCTTAGAGTTGTGCTTCTGTAATTATGATTTTGAATTTTATGATTTCCTCTGAATTATGTCCTTTTTAAAGCTGGGCTTTTTTTTTTTTTTTTTTTAAGATTTTATTTATTTGAGACAGAGAGAGCGCACAAGTGGGAGGAGGGCCAGAGGGAGAGGGAGAAGCAGATTCCCCGCCAAGCAGGGAGCCCGATGTGGGGCTCAAACCTAGGACCCTGAGATCATGACCTGAGCCCGAGACAGATGCTTAACTGAGCCACCCAGGTGCCCTTCAAGTTGTTTTTGATAGATCCCTCCCAGATATCAATCTCAGTATGTCCTTCTTCCTGCACCCAGACCTGCTTCTCCCCCTTGATCCCCTGTGCCTCAGTGACCACATCGTCCGTGTGTGTAGACGGCTGTCCCCAGGCTCACCTCTGGTTGTTGGGCGGTTCCTGCAGAGCCGGTCTCTCAAGTCCTCTTAAATTTGTCCCCTCTTCTGAATCACCATCACCACTGCCTTGGTCCACACTCTCCCTGGATCTTCTGCACCATTATTTTAATTCTTTCCTGATGGATCTCTCCAGGTCCAGCCAGGTTCTTCCACACTGCTGACAGAATAGTCTTTTGAAAATTAAAACTGGGCCATAAAGCTGAGGTTTTAAATCTGTGCACTTCCTATCTGCTGAAGCATATAATTCTCAAGGTCCCCAGTCCAGTAAAAGCCTGCCATCACGCAACGAGTGAGGGCCAAAAACGTATGTTGCACACCATGCAGAGTGTTGCTACCTCAGATTACTGAAGTGATTTGGGCAAACCCGCCATCTTTCTGGCTGGCAGTTCCAAGGATTTTTCTGAGATTCAGATACATCCCTGTCCTGGCTGCTGTTGGGTGTGACCCCATAGAGGTCGCCTGCTCTGGGCTTGAGTATCACTGGAGATAATTCTGGGTCTTCTAGGATGAGCACTAAGGATCCCAGGAATCTTCCGGTTAACTGATGTTCATTTTTGGATGTCAGCGTGATCTTTGAGGATTGTCACTGGGGGGTATTAGGGACACAAGGAGCCACCTTCCCATTTTCTCAGTTGCTTGGCTCCTCTTTCTGTCTACATTTTCTCTCTTCTGTAGAAGCTAAAATATTTGAGAACAGGAGATGGGCGGAGGATGGGAGCCAATTGCCAGGCACATTATATCTGACACCAAGTTTTTGTGAGGTGAGTTATCTTGGGGTTTTCACGTATTGGGTACAGGCACTTCCTGACTTGCCCCCAACTGACATTCCGAGGCTCACCCCTTGCCACTGTTTTCCCTGATCCCCACCCCCACCCCCCCACCTGACAGCGCCACCAGGCCTATCACATTCCACTCCTGGCGGGACCTGTAAGATTTCTGGATCATCTGGTTCCACGAGGGAGCCTCTCACTCACTCACAAATTTCAGACATTGTGGTTGGTGGTGGTGATACAAAAACGGGTCAAAGCCAGAGTCCCCGGCAGGCAGGCCGACAGAAAATCAAACCGGAAGTCAGCGCGGAGCTCAAGTGTTTGGCAGGGAGGCCCGGGGCGGCTCTGCGCATGCCCGCCAGCCACGGCCCGCGTCCTGGAAGCCTGTGCGCTCTGCGGCTCCCTGCGCGGCTTCTCGCCGCAGACCGTGGGCCGCCTCGGGGCCGGTGTCACGTCTTCAGCCCCCGGGCTGCGGCCTGGCGGCTGCGGGCCCTGCGTTTTTGTCCGTTGCACGGATGAGCCTTCCAGTGCAGGATGCCCCGTGCTGGCAAGAGTTCGCGCTGGAAATAGGTTCAGAGGGAAAAAAAATGTTTCCACACTGGTGGGAACTTAGAGGGCACCCTCGGTATCTTGTGTTCTTAGGCCTTTAGGGAATCCTGCCAGAAGTTCTACGAGGCCGAGCTGGAAGAGCTGTCCTTTGCTGAAGACACGGAAGAATGCCGGAGACACATAAATGACTGGGTGACGGAGAGGACGGAGGGTGAGGCGTGTTCACTGCGCTAGACCCCGCTCCTGGAAGGGGGGGGCCGCCGAGGTCGCGGGGGCGTGGCCTCCAGGGTGTCGCCCCCGGGGCCCAGCAGCCAGTGGCCTGTGTGTGTGTGTTTGCTGGATTTCTAGGCCAGCAACGCAATTCGCTTCTTTTTCTCGGGTTTATGAGGTCACCGAGTGGTGATTTTTTTACAAACTCCATAAACCTAGTGTAAGGATCTCAGACCCACTCCCCTCGGGACTGTGCTGGAAAATCCCTGAAAAAGGCTTGCTGTCTGGGGGCCCATCAGTCTTCTGTCTGAGGGGAGGGGGTCGGGGTGCCTGCCCCTGAGGGCAGAATGACATTCAGTGTAGGCTGGGGCTGACTGAGACGCTGGGCAACAGTTCACCTTATCTCCCTGTGGTAATGAGGACAGCTGCTTTTATCTGCAGGTGTCTCCTTCCTCTGTCGGGGGGCTGAGGCTGAGTGTGCATTCAGAGTGTGATCTTTGCCCCAGATTCTGGAAATGCAGTTCTCGTGGTGGAGCCTGTGGCCTCCCCTGTCCAGACCACACTCTGTCTTACCAGGAATATTTCCGCCAGTGCTTGACTAGAGTACAGAGAAGGGCATGCTTTTAAGCCCTCGAAGTACCTAACACAATTGAGAGACTTCCAGAAGTGTGTGTGTGGGGTGGGGGAGGGAGTTAAATCACTTATTTCTTCTGTGCCCACCTAGCACGCTTTAGGGTGCACCTGCTGTGTGTCCGGCAGTGGCAGGGCCCACGATTATACTGAAAGCCAATAAAATAATGGCTGTTGGAAGGGCAGAGCCTTTCACGTTTTCCTGCGTTGTATGTGCAGTGGTCTCTTGTTCTCCAGTCGATCGAGCAGTACTGGGTCACTCAGGGAAGCCAGAAGCTTCTCCCTACATCACTCACTTCTTCTTCATCAGATTGACTGCCAGTATGTTTCCCCCAAATATCAGAACCGTAGGGGATATTGGGGGTCACCTTGTCCCCAGTCTCATTGGAGAACTCAGTCTGGGTCTCTTTATTGTACCCATGCATTCCTTCCCCCATTCTCTGCCTCCAGGAGGACTGCCTCACCCATTTACAGGTGTGTATTCCTTCCTCCTTCGGAAGCTTCTCCTCACCTAAATGAGATCTGAAGGTTGGTGTGGAGCAGTGATTCTCAACCAGAATCAGCCCCTAGGTGACATTTGCCAACGGTTGAAGACATTTTGGTTGTCCCAACTGGGGAGATGCTACTGGCGGGACATCGTACAATGCACAGGACGCTCCCCACAGCAAAGAATGATCTGGCTGAAAATGCCAGTAGCAGCGTGGTTGAAAAATCATGGCACCAAGGTTGGGAAGTTTATAATTAGAAGCAGGACTCTTGTCTCAGTTCAGCCCCTTGGAACCTACGTGACCTTGGCGAAATGTCAGCCAAATGCTCTGACCTAAATTTCTACATCTGTAAATTGAGGGCAAAATGAGAGTTGACCTGCCTGCTTCAGGATTGCTGTGTAGGGACCAGCAGGGTGTATATGCCACATGGTGTGTGTGCACGGCATTACATCCCATCACCCTGTTCCTCAGGCCTCCAGAAAGACAGGATTCTAGCCTGGTTCAACCACGCCAAGCTTCAGATGTCAGGAGTGTTGTTGTTGTAAAAGAATGTTTATTCCTCTCCCCTCTTCCCCAGATGGCTATAAACTTCTCTGATGTGCTTGGCAGGTAAGATTTCAGAGATCCTGGGTGCTGGGACAGTTGATCCACTGACTAAGCTGGTTCTCGTGAATGCCATCTATTTCAAAGGAAAGTGGAATGAGCAGTTTGACAGAAAGTACACAAGGGGGATGCCCTTCAGAATCAACCAGGTAGGGAAATATTTTTTGGGTGTACTGCTAACTTTCTTAAAAGTAATGTGCTGGGAAAGATTGTGAATGAGTGGAAAAAATAATGTATTTCATACTATATTTCTCAATGAATTTCACACCCCCTCTATATCTTTTATTGGAGAGGGGAAGAGAGAAGCTAAAATGATTTTTATATTGATAGTTTTGTGTTTGCATCCTGTGTCAAACTGATTCTTCTCTCTTTGGCCATATTATTTGGATTGAAAGAAAATTTCTTCCACCCTTGGAATTATGTTTGTGTTGTACTATCACTATATTTACCCAGACACCTTCTTATAATGTCAGTGACAACTCTGCCTGTAGATTGCCTTATAACTCCTAGCCATACAGTTCTGAACACAAGAAAAAAAAACATCAGCAGATGTTCAGGCTAACTTTGTCTTTATATTTGGATCTTTTTAAATAACTGTATATAAGGTGTGTGAGATGATGATTTGATACAATTCACATAGAGAAATAATTGCTTTGGTCGAGCCAATTAGCATATACTTTTCTCACATGGTTATCATATTACTTTTGTGATGAGAGCACCTGAAATCTACTCTCTTAGCAAATTTCCAGTATTCACTACAGTATTCGTAATTGTGGTCATCATGCAGGCGACAGATCTCTAGACTTAAAGCCTAACTTTAACAACACTTTTGTCCCTTCACTTTTGGGTATGATGATGGTTGGCATCAATAGCAATTAGCTTGAAATTTGACTTCCATCAACTTGATGATAGCATATCACACAGAGATTTATTTATTTATTTATTTATTTTAAAGATTTTATTTATTTGACACAGAGAGAGCGACAGCGAGAGAGGGAACACAAGCCGGGGGAGTGGGAGAGGGAGAAGCAGGCTTCCCGCCGAGCAGGGAGCCCGATGCGGGGCTCGATCCCAGGACCCTGGGATCATGACCTGAGCCAAAGGCAGACACTTAACGCCTGAGCCACCTTGCACACAGATTTAAAAGTCTGGAATACATCTGATGCAAGCTTTAAAAATGGTGGACATTACAAATCTTGTCAAGGTCCTCTCTCCAAGAAAACCAAAGCCATGAAGCCGGTTATATAATTGAGCAACTTCTCAGAATAAAAATATAAGTCTCTATGGCCTATCCATCTTTTCTAACCACATCCTTCAGCCTCCAAACCTGAATATTAGTTAATTCTCCCCTTAACTTGGATAAATGATCTTTAAGTATAAGGTCCCTGGAGTGCTCTTCTCTAATGCATCTTCTCAGAAGTGGAAAAACACAGCTTCTTCCAAAAATAATGTAGGGTTTTATGTCTAAGTTCGTCAGTTTTATTCTCTCCCACCTGGTAATAGTTGATCTGCTGGGACAAGAGCATGTGGTATTCAATACTAATATGTAGGGGCGCCTGGGTGGCTCAGTCGTTAAGCATCTGCCTTCAGCTCCGGTCATGATCCCAGGGTCCTGGGATCGAGCCCCGCATCGGGCTCCCTGCTCCGCGGGAAGGCTGCTTCTCCCTCTCCCACTCCCCCCTGCTTGTGTTCCCTTGCTCGCTGTCTCTCTCTCTCTCTTTGTGTCAAATAAATAAAAATAAAATCTTTAAAAAAAATACTAATATGTAATAATGAGGGTTTGGCGTCTGTCAGCATAGTGCGCAGAAATAACAATTCTCTTCCATGGACCTAGGGGTTCTGCAGATGAGATTTATCTCCTTTTTTGTAAGCCCTGCTCATTTTTCAGTGATCTGCTTTTAATTCCATATTTTTCATTAGGAGAAAAAGACCGTGCAGATGATGTTTAAGCTCGCTAAATTTAACCTGGGTTATGCGGATGAGGTGCACGCTCAGGTGCTGGAGCTGCCGTACGCGGGGCAGGAGCTGAGCATGGTCATCGTGCTTCCGGATGACAACGCCGATCTCGCCGTGGTAAGCCCTGGCCAGTGCGTCTGAGCGTCTGTGGAGACAGCCTGAGCGCGTTTCTCTATTTCCGTCTATCAGGTAGCACGTGAGGAATTTCCAGTTGAGGGTTGTTAGGAGTCCTTGGCGAACAGCATCTCCTCTCTGGAGTGACCTTGTGTTTGCTTTTCTGCTGAGCATGTATCCAGGAGTGGATTTGGTGGTGAGGACCATTCTCAGGAAGCTAAGAGGCGAGGCTTCCAAAATTATCAGAACACTCTGCTTTATTCTGAAAGAGGGGCTCGTCGAGTCCCAGGAATTATTGAACAAAAAAGTACTAGGCAAGGAGAGTACTTGCCATATTGAGAAACAATAGCATGCGTAGGAATCCACTGGGTGGCTTGTTAAAAGGCAGTTTTTGCTTCAGGGGGCGATGGCCTGAGAGTTTGCATTTCTGACGAGATTCCAGATGATTCAGATGCTGCTGGGCAGGGACCACACTTTGGGTAGCAGGAGTCTCAAGGACAGGTGAAGAATTTTTCTTGGACAGGAGGAGAGGGCCCTCTTCCCACGACGGAAAAGGAACAAAGTTCAGGGCGGGAGAAAGTAAATTTGTAAGGAGGTTACCTGGCTCTCTGGGGGTGGGGAACGACCTCGCTTATGACATCTGGCTGAGTTCAGGTGACTGAGGGTTTAACAGTGGACTCTTGCCAGAGATAGAGGCCAGCTCCAGCACACCAGTGCACAGGACACCGAGGGTGGGGCCTGCCCGGTGTCCCTGGTTTCTCCGTGGAATCGGAAAGCTATTGGCATAAGTCAAAGGTGAGCTCTGTCATGGTGACTCAAGAAGAAAATGAGGAGAGTCTGGGAATTCGAGCTAATGTCCACACAGCTGTCACTGGAGAGGAACATTCGCCTGGGTGAAGAAAAGAGGGAGAAGCAGTGGAAGCTTCTTCCCTTTTTTCATTGCGGACACACAGACCGAGTGATGGGTCTTGGAGGCTTTGAGGCGAACGCCAGGGCAGGCAGAAGACGAACAAGAATGCCAGAAGCCACAGTGTTGTTGAATTCTCCATTTCTGCTCTCCCCTCCCTGGAAGCCACGTCTTCCTTCCTGTTCGGAGGATCCCTGATTTTCCTGCTCTTGCCCATCAGAGTTCTGGGCCATACTCTCTTTTTTGTCAAACAATCTGTGATTCATACTAATGTGTATCACATGGATACAATCACTTGGTTATGAGAACTTTCCAAACTAAAAAACATTTGAAATGAGTTTGGTACAGATAGTTTAAAAAAAAAAAAAAAGCATCTCCCCTCTCTCAGTGTTTTTTAGCTGTTTTTCCTCTTATATCCATAAAATGGGAAAAGATGAGAATTTGAGGGAAAATGTGGGTGTGGTACAGGAAAATCTCTGTAGATTTCTTGGACAGTGTCATGGAGGGGAGGGGGGCTGAGTGGGGAGGGGAGCACCAGGCTGTTGTCTACATTTTAAGATTCGACCCCTCCTTATTTCAGGTGGAAAAAGCACTAACATACGAGAAGTTCAGAACCTGGACAAATCCAGAAAAGATGACTAAGGATAAAGTTCAAGTTTTCCTTCCCCGATTGAAGCTGGAGGAGAGTTATGACTTGGAGTCTTTTCTTCGAAGTTTAGGTATGACTGATGCGTTTGAGGAAGCCAAGGCAGACTTTTCTGGAATGTCGGTGAAGAAGAATGTGCCCGTGTCCAAGGTGGCACACAAGTGCTTTGTAGAGGTGAATGAAGAGGGCACTGAGGCGGCGGGGGCCACAGCCGTGGTCAGGAATGCTCGGTGCAGCAGACCTGAACCAAGATTTTGTGCAGACCACCCTTTCCTTTTCTTTATCACACACCACAACACCAAGAGCATTTTGTTCTGTGGCAGGTTCTGCTCCCCATAAGGAGGTGCACTTGCTGTAAACACACTCCTTTCGCTTCTGCCCACCTGCCTTAATGCAGATTCCTGTGACCAAACTGGTGTGATGGTTTGAATGCCCAAATAAAGCGTGTGTGCCTGGGAAGTCTGTGTGAATGTTCTGACTGAATAGTCCACGGCCACTGAGGCATCACACGTGTGCAGTTTGGGGCTGAGAAGGCTGTGCTTGTTCGGGGGATTCGGGCAGCTCCTCTTTCTCATCGACTCTGCCCTCACCTGCCTGTCAGAGGACGGCCTGCTCCTCAGCGTCTGTTCTCACTGTTTGTGGGCGTCTTGAGGAGCATGTGAGGGATTCACAAACCAGCCCTTCCTATGCGTTCCCATCCTGCAGTGGCCTCAGGGCTCTGCCCACTTCCCCTGCCGGGTTCCCGAGGAGAGGCCAGAGCCCAGCCCCACTGCACACACAGCCAGAGGCGAATGCCACGGAGTAAAGCCTGCCAGGCTCATAGACAGCTAAGATGAAGTGCCTGTGCCCTGTCAGGATCACACAGACCGCCCTGCATGTCCCACGTCTCACACAGGCCCTCATGAAGACAACTCCTTCACATCTTCTTGCCATAAACCTTCAGGCCTGGGCTAGGAGGCCGAGCTCTGAATGTGCCAGGTAGTCTCCTCCATTCCCTTTTCATCTGAAGCTCCCCCCACCCCGCCCCCGGGACCTTCATGTGAAGCACCTGTCAGGACAGCATCCCTCTACCTAACCACATATGCCCACGTGTGGCTCCAGCACATTGTACTTATGCACAGCCCTCCCTACAGTATTTTTTTTGACTTAAAAAAGGATTTGTATTGTGGTAGCAACTTGGAAACTATTGAAAAGTACCAGAGAATGCTGAAGTCACCCACAATTTTACCACTATGAAATCACTATTTTTTTTTAAAGATTTTATTTATTTGACAGAGCACAAGCATGGGGAGAAGCAGGCTCCCCACTGAGCAGGGAGCCCGATGCAGGACTTGATCCCAGGACCCGGAGATCATGACCTGAGCCGAAGGCAGGTGCTTAACAACTGAGCCACCCAGGTGCCCCTGAAATCCCTATCAATGAAGTATATCCTTCCCTATTCTATGTATGCAAATACAAACTTACAAACATTTTAGCACAAGTTAATCATAGACTTCTGTAGCTATTTCTACCCTTACTTGCCATAAACTCTCCTCAAGATAATTATGTCATCAATTTGATGTGTGAAATAGTATGACTCTCTATATTTCCTGTTATTGGATCCACTTTTAGACAATTTAGGTAATTAAAATTATATACTCTTATGAATGTACTAAATATTTGCTCACATCCTTCATATTTTAAAAGAAATATTCGTAATAATGGTACTGTCAAGATAAAAGTTGGGCACATTTTCACCAATTCTTCCAAATTGGTCTCCAGAAAGTTGTCCTGATTTATAACCGTCCCCCCCGCCCCAAAATACATGACCATTTACATTACCGCTAACTGCTGTGGGCCATTTTTTTTTTTTTCTTTAATGAGTGGTTATTCCTGACTCTGTTTTGGATTCACAGCTCACAGTTACTTGAACCACTCATATTACAGTTCTTACTTAATTCATCAAGCTAGAATATGTTTTCTGTTAGGCCACATTCATTTCAGGGACCCTACTTTCCGAAGAGGCCTTGGCCAAAAGTGAATCCACAGGACTAGAAAGCCTGCATCTTTTAGTTTTAATGTCATATCCACCTCTCATTTAAAGAAAAAATCTACACCTGGGCGCCTGGGTGACTCAGTTGGTTAAGCGACTGCCTTCGGCTCAGGTCATGATCCTGGAGTCCCGGGATCGAGTCCCGCATTGGGCTCCCTGCTCAGCAGAGAGTTTGCTTCTCCCTCTGACCCTCTTCCCTCTCGTGCTCTCTATCTCTCATTCTCTCTCTCTCTCAAATAAGTAAAATCTTGAAAAAAAATCTACACCTTTATTGAAGTATAATTTATACAGAATAAACTACATATTTAACATGTACAGTTCAGTAAGTTTTGACTCATGCATACCCATGAAACCAAACCAAGGAACCAGTGGGCAGGTACCAGTCATGGGAGGCCCGTCAGTGTATGCAGTCTGTACAATGACCATGAGCTAAGGATACCTGTTAACCTTTACTCAGACCTCTTGGCTTTCCAAATAAAGGAGACTGGGGTCCAGGCTGAGATCTCTCTGTCCCCATAGGGGACCAGAAGCAGTATGTCAAGGTCAAAGTTCAGTGGTCTCAAAATCTCTGGGCCGGGGGTAGCTCAGGTGTTGTCTAGTGCAGTAGAAATGTTCTATACAGCTGAAACCTGGCCCAGATGGGGTCTCAAAACTGCAAAGGTCCTAGGACGGCCCCTCTGCATCCCAGGCATAACACCCAAGGAACTAATATGAAAGTGATGATGATAACAGGACCCACTTCGTAGAGTTGTTGAGAGAACTTAATGGGTACATAAAGAGGTTGGAACAATGCCTGGTGTAGCAGTACCCAGCATGTAATCGGTAACTATCATTATTAGACAAGACTCAATTGCATTTTCATGCATTTAATAAGCAATAGCTAGAAAATGTAGTTAATTTTGAATTAAAAAATATAATGTTCTCAGTAACAATAACTTGAGATAAGCAAGCCTGTTGTGTTGAAAATTAAGAAATGTTATTGAAAGTCATTAAACATGGCCAAAGGAAAGGGAGATATTTCATATCATGAACAGAGAGACCTGGAGTTGAAAAGTTACCAGTTTTCCCTTACCTGTCCTATAGATGTAATGTAATTCCAGTCCAAATTCCAGCAATGTTTTCTGTGGAACCTGACAAGTATATTCATTTAAAAATTTATATGAATAAGCGAAGGGCCAGAAATACCCAGCACACTTCTAAAGAAAAAGATCATGTTGCAGAGTTCTGCTCTACCAGATATTGAAGCTTATAAGGTTTTAATAATATAGTGTGGTGTTTACATAGGGATAGACCAACAGATTAATGGTACCAAAGAGAGCCCAGAAGCATACTCATTCATATATTAAAATGGGAAATGGGACAGAACTGGCATTATAGGTCATTAGGTAAACGATAACCCAATACAGTATGCTGGGACAACGTCTTTATAGAAAAGGAAACAGAGTTAATTATTGAGAGATTAAATACCAAAATATGGAAACCAAATTTTATAAGTTTTACAAGAAAATATAGCAGAATATTTTGTGACTTTAGGGAAGGGAAAGATATCCTAACACATAAAAAGCAAAACAAGGCAAACAATTGACAAAATCAACTACATTAAAATACATGTACTTTAAAATATATTTAAAATACACCATAAAAATTATAAAAATATAAGCTCAAGCCAGGGGGTGAGGATTTAACACATTTAACCATTAAAAGATAAATATCCAAAACAAAGTATTTTCATCAAAGAGTCTGTAAGAAAATGGCAAGCCAATGGAAAAATGGGTAAAGACTTGAAGAGCTACTTCACAAAGAAGAAAACAGAAAAGGTCAATAAATATATGAAAAGATGCTCAATATCATTAATGAAGGAAAGCAAATTAAAGTAGAAATAAGAGCTCAGAGGGAAGTGCGACCATGGATGAAGGGCAGAGCAATGTTGTTGGCTTTGGAAGATGGAGGAAAAGGGCCTGAGCCAAGGAATGTGGATGGAGAAGCTGAAGGAGGCAGGGAAATGGATTCTGCCCTAGAGACTCCAGACATTCTGCCCTAGAGACTCCAGATTCTGCCCTAGAGACTCCAGTACATGGCCCTGTGGGCACCCTGATTCTAGTCCACTGAGACCTGTCTTGGACTTCTGACCAGCAGAGCTCTGACATCATGAACTCATGTTTACAGCTTGTAATAATTTGTTACAGCATCGACAAGAAACTAATAAAGTATTCAGCACAGATGCTTTTCTTCTGCGAATGATAGAAACACATTTCTAACTTAAGAAAAACGTAATTTATTATCTCGTCTCAAGCTTAAAAAAGTACCTGAGGAATAACTAGGACTGTAGACTCAAGTGTCTTAGGCTCACTCTCCATTTCCAGCTTTGTTGTTTCTCTGTTAGCTTCCTTCTCTTTCCCCACAGAACTTGAGGTGGATCTCCACCCCTCTACCCATCAACCATTGTCTTGGATTGACCCTTTTGTCACTTAGTTATCATAGAACGAACAACAAGGACAAAGGAGCTAGGACATACTGACATCCTAGCTCTTTGTGAAACTGTATGGATGAACCAAAGGAACTTATATTATGAAGCTTGGAAGAGCATCAGGTGTCTGTTTTCTATCAACCTGCTTTGGCCTTAATTGAGCAGTGGTAAGTCTTAGTTCATGGCTTCCTTCCATCAAAGACAAACACAACTAGAAAAAATGAATTTAAAATAACATCGATCTGGTTATTTAAAAGCATTTGGACCGACAAATTATCACAAGCAAAGCTCACCTACTCTGTTGGTTTTCTCTTGCTGCCTTGATGGGTTACCCATGACTCAGAGGCCTGAGCAACGTGGATTTGTTGTCTCCCAATTCACAGTTCAGTAGATTAGTAGACTTGGCTCTGCCCAGTCTTACAAGGTCAAAGTCAGAGCGCCAGCAGGGCTGCCTCCCTCCTTTGAGGCGGCTCTGAGGGAGACTCCACTTCAGGGACATTCAAGTTACTGGCAGCATTGAGCTCTACATGGTTGTAGGTACAAAGTTCCTGTTTCCTTATTAGCAGTCACTGGGGTCTTTCTCCTTCTTCCATTTTCCAAGCCAGCGATAGAAGTCCAGTCCATCTAATGCTTTCGTAGGGCAGGAAAACTTGACCTCTACCCATCTTAGGTTTTCATTGAGACTCTAACAAAAAGACAGATTAGCAAGAGAAAAACAGCTCACTAATGCATGCATTTGTATTTACTATGACCAGATATCCTACTCCTGCTTCGCTACTAGAGAAACGAAATGTTCAAAAGACATGTGAAATAATGCTCATAGCAATATTGTTTCTCATG